CAATTGATTTCCGAGCTTATGCAAACGTATTTAGTGCTAGTTTCTTTCTTTCAGAGTATTATACGGTCGACTCCCGGTAACTCGAACCCTCTATAGCTCGAACCTCCCGCTAACTCGAATCAATTTTCATTTCCCCTCAGATCATTTTCTATAATTATACATTTTAGCCTCGATAACTCGAACTCCCGATAACTCGAACTTTTTTCTGTTTCCCTTGAATGTTCGAATTATCGGGAGTCGACTGTAGACAGTTGGCGCTTATTCAGAGGTCCACACAAGTACGTTTCAAATGAACAGGATATTCGGGAGGGTAAGATTTATCATTATGAGTCACATGCACCAATGCACGCGTACCCTGCGAGCAGAGGCCCTTCGACCTTCCTAGCCTCTGCTCGCACGGTAATGCACGCGTTGACGACCCTCAAGTTTTACAAGTTTTCACAGAAAGCTCTATAAATAACTATTTATTCATCAAATTATCGCGTATTTAGGACAAGCGCGATTTTTGGAATAAGTAATAAACAAATTTAGCAACAACAACTTTACGACAGTACGCAGATCTAAAATTAAACCGAGTTGACTAATGGCGGGGCGGAGCACCGGAAGTGGCGTTCTCATTTTTGCGTTTTAAAAGTATTCGAACCAGGACTTAGCATCTATTGTTTTATGAGAAAATAAAAGATGAGAAAAGATTAATATGGTGAAAAGAAAGGAAGTAAATCCGATATTTTAACAACTGTACGTATTCCCATCTGTAAAAGACTCAGCTCTCTTGCTTCGTTGACCCATGTTCTGTGCTAAGCCATGTAGTCTTCTCGTCAGCCATTCTGGAAGGCCGGTTCGCTTCAAAAAGTAAGGCAATGTTTTTGTTTTTGTGTTTGTTGTTATTTTTGCTGTTGTCGTTTTTCTGAAATATTTATCAACATTTTGCCAGCGAATTTTTGCCACAACTTTCAATCCTGGACATAAAAAGAGCGAAAGGATCCATGGCGCGGGACGCGCACCTTTTTGCGTTCTTGGGTGCGGGGTGTGAGGACCGCACCGTTGAGAACCTTTTCGTTTTGGGGGGACACTGTTGTGATACCCCTGCGTTGGCGGAAAAAAGCTGCTTGTTAGATTGTCGTCAATTTGGGACAAGATATCAAATGACGATTAGGGGAGGGGAGCTAAAATAGGAACCCTGCTTGTTAGTATTGTCAAATAGCAACCCTTAGGGAGGTCGGGGAAGGGATGAGGTGGGGGGCTCTATCTTTTTTCTGTCCGTTCCCTTCCCTTCCCCACCCCATCCCCGCTCCCTTTTCACGTTCGCTGTCGAATTAAAGTTGTGAGGACGATGTTTGTGACCTATGACTTCAGTTTAGTGGTTGTTGCCGTTGCAGTTGTGGAGAAATGGCCCGGCGTCATATAGAAGTTAACAATGCTCTGTTAGTCGAGACAATACTGTAAGTGACCATTAGTAGACGTTTGACTATTGTTGGTTTTCATATGACGTCACTAAAATTCAAACTACAAAACTATCGTTAGAACCGATATTTTAATTTCACGATGTATTAGAGCAGCTGAGAACTAATTTTCATACAAATTTTTGCTTCAAAAGGGTTCTTGGTTTTGTGTTAGAGTACGCTTGAATTTCTAAGCTTTTGCATAACGCGGCATTTACATGACGGCCAAGAGAGCTGTCATGTATGTTAAACAATGACTTATTTCAGGACATTTTGCTATCTAAACAGTTCATGTATTAGAAAAAGTAATACTTTAATGTTTATGAGTTCCTCGAAGAATAAATTCACGCTTTTGTAGCAAAACTCGGCAACAGATGTTTGCTCATCCGGATGGGCACCAGCATGGCGTCTCCATACAAATCTCTATTAATTTTCTGAAAACATTTTTTCGGATATCTCGTATACGAAATATTCCTCTGACCTGAATCTTGGCGAGGGTCTTTGCATATTTACCTCCTTTCATTTCCCAGATTCTGGTCTTTATCTATTGGACGGTTTTGATTTTGATTTTGATCTATTTTGAATGGCGTGACACTGAAAACCGGTCATAGATGTATATGAACTTTATTTGTAGAGGTTTTTACTAACATGATTTACTGAAAAAAAGCTTACTTTTCATTGTCAACGAAGCACGTACGGTTGTTATATTCTCATAACATTTTATTTTGTCATTTAAAAACTGCGTTTTTCAGCTCAGATATACTTGCGAAAAGTAACACATGTTGACAGGATTGGCTGATTCTGATCGTATGTTTTACAGCTTCTGAAAGGTCTAAATATTCCCACGCAAATCTTGTTTACGTTAGTTCTTCCTTTTGTCATTGTTAATCTCGACACAGTTGTGTGAAATTCATATATTTTTAAACTTTTGTGAGCACTAGCCGCTTTTGCGCACGTAAATCTCAGTAACAGGTAAAAAAAAGGAGCCAGCCGTGTTCGGTTCCGGTAAAAAGAGAAATCTAACGTGCTTGCACAAATAATGAATTTTTCGTGGCAATGTTTACTAAAACGCTTATTCTAACGATTAAGATTATGGGTGATGCCCTTTGTAACATCTTTTTCATTCACTTAACATTTTCTTTCTTCATTTATTTTTTTTTCTTGATAGTCAAACTTTAGAAGAAGAAGAAGAAGCTTAAAGCTAATCTAGAAAGCATGGAAGTATATGGCAATGATTGAGAGCATTTAACAGCTGGGGTTTTCTTTGACAAATTTTCCTTTCTTTTCATTTGGAACTGTTTTACTCATTGAGTCATGCCATCGATGTTTGAGTCATACCATATAAGGGGATAATCCCTTTGCAAACATAGCTGATCTAGTACTTAACAAGGTCATACGCTTGTCAATTTTATAACAAATAACTTTAGATTGAGAAAAAAACGTGAACGCCTTCTTATTAATCCAAACCAAGTGTAAAGGAAGCGGAAAAAATGACTCCTTAGTTTTCGTTATTGTTCTTTGTCTGGTCATTAAAATAGAAATTCATATTAATTGGTTCTTTAATTTGATTTTGCATACACCAAGTGAAAAGTAATTCGCACCATGGTGTGATAATCGATCGAAGAAAATTGGTGATCAGAAACAGTGATGTTCTTGGATTGACAGGTGCACATACGTGAGTTTTGCCTACAAATTTATGGTAGGTTACACCGGGAACGAAAACAAACGACTGGTCTCGCAAGTCAATAGATACATCTTTTATGAATTAAAAGACTGAGGCGAATTATTGCTCTTTTTCTATTTTCATTATTTTTTTAAAATTCTGCGCCATATTGTTCCTTCTTTTGTTTGTATTTTCAGTTTGTCAGTATGGTTGATTTACGTGAAAATCTAATGTGGCGTCTGAAACAAAATACTCAAAATAAATGTACTCGAAAACCAAGTTATGGCGAGATGTTTTGCCGGAGTTTAACCTGTCGGCGAAATTCCATGTTGTTACCATTCAAACGAATGGCTCAGTTCTTTAGGAGTACCTCCTTCACATGCCGGCACTGTATTAATACTTGTAGTGTGCAGCTCTAACTACTGAGTCTGTGGATAAAATCCTTTGGTGTGCAGACCATTCAAATGAAACCTCTTCAGCAGTACTTTCACAGGGAACTATTTATTTAGTATGCAGTCCTAACGTTTGAGTCTGTAGGTGAAATCCCTTGAGACTATTCAAATGGAAACTCTTAGCGTAGTGAAAGCGGGGGGCTCATTTTAGGTGTGGCGAGGAACCGTTCGCTTTAGGCGGAGCCTTAGTTGTAAAAGGGCTTGCTTGGTTGGGGCTCTACTATTTTTCATGCATGTGCTTCTGTCTGTTAATTGCCTAGCAGTGTTCGTGGCTCCCTGATGTTTTAACAGTGCTTTTATTCAGCTCAAAGCTGTACTGCTGTGCATTAGCTTCTCAGCAATTTGCATACCTAGTGCATTTGCATGCCACGCTACCGTACAAATTACGCCAAAGAAAAGGTTGAGATTTATTTGGAATCCAGAGCCTTCCTTTGAGAATTACTGAATCGCGAGGAAAAGTGCTATTTATTAGTATTGGCGAAAGGAGACTGCACGTCTGTTCATCAGGCCATTAACTACGGCTCCTGGCTCCCTGATGTTTTAACCGTGTTTTTGTTCAGCTCAAAGCTGTACTGCTGTGCATTAGCTTCTCAACAATTTGCATACCTAGTGCATTTGCCTGTCACGCTGCCGTACTATTACACCCAAACAAGGTTCGAGTTTTATTTAGAATCCACGGCCATCCTTTGAGAATTCCTTAAACGCAGGAAAAATTCTACTTTTTAGTAATAGCGAAAGGAGACTGCACTTCTGTTAATCAGACCAGTAACGTTTTGCTCTTGGCTCCCTGATGTTTTAACCGTGCTTTTGTTCAGCTCAAAGCTGTACTGCTGTGCATTAGCTTCTCAAACTAGTGTATTTGCACGTACTAAAAAAATAAGAGTTTTATTTGGAACCCAGAACCATCCTTGTGGAATTCCGTAATCGCAGGAAAGCTCGTCGTTTTAGTGTTGCAGAAGTAGACCGCATGTCTGCTCATAAGACTAGTAACCAAAATGTGGTTTTATAAGGTGGGTAAACAAAGTCATTTCACTACCATACTAAGGCCTCCCCGGGTTACAAACAACAAAAATAAACTTTGAAAAAGCTGTAAGGCTAACAAGTTTTCTAAAACCGCAATTGTAATCCGTTTTAATCTTCTTCGAGTTTGTCCATCCTTGCCTTCAGTTCCTTTGTTTTTGCTCTCCAAGAGAACATGTGCTGTGTTATATATACTTTTTTTAATGTTTTCAGCGGTTATTTTACCGTTTCACTTGATTTGGTTGCAGTACTTGTTGTTTCAGACTCGATAAATTTTGTGACACATCTCCGATCCTTTAAGTCTTATTTCTTTTGAATTTTTTTTTTTAACTTTGACCTTGAATAGTGGTTACATAAACTTTATGTAGCTTCCTCCGCAGGTAACTCCGGTCACACCTGAGGACGAGAATGGTAGAAAAAAAAATGACGTGGAGTTTCCTGCCAAAAATCGAAGTGTGTGGACAGCGTCCTTCACCCTTGTGGACCAGTGACTGGACCCGGGGTCCCCTGGGGGTTTTCGTCAGACATTATTACAAGTCCAGTCCCCTAAGAAAATGAACGTACCGTCGGCCTCAGGTTTGTTTGCCAGATGACTATTTCGAGCTAGCGACGTAAACATAAGGACTCTCTTTATAATGCGTAGTATACCTATTTCACGGTTCAAGTAAAATCACTTTGTGCTTAAGTTTTAACTGTTGCTAAGTTTAGTTTTGGTTTTGCATAATTGGATCGCGCTGTACATCAACACACATATTTTTTTGGTAGCTCTCTATTATAATAATGTTTGCTTATTCTTTTAATCTTGTATGACTCCTTGGCTTTAGTTTTTGCAATCCATCGCCCGCTTCATCAACACACATAAGCTTACATGTGCGTACGGTTGGAGGCTTCTCAAGCCATTTTCCACAAACGAACAAACTCTTGTAGGTTCCGGTAAACGGCTTTTGTCTCTCAAAATCCCCCCTATCCCGTACACAAATTAGATTTGTATGCGCGAGCCAACATTTACAGAAGGACATCACCTTGTCAACACTTGGCAGGCATCAATGTCCCTCTCCGTTCTCTCCCATTCTCCCACTCGTTCTGTAAGGGACAGTGAAGCCTGCGAACGAGGCTAAACTTTACCATTTACACTCGAATTTTTTTTAGTAGCTTGCAAGCTAAATAATATCTTCAAGCACAATACATTAGAATACATTACAAGAAAAAAAAAATATGTCTACACATAAAAGAAACTAATATTTTAAACTTTATCTATTTTTTTTTAATTCACCCGCAGAATGAATGAAAGAAAGAACTCAGTAGGAAAAAGTTTAAATATAAGAATATGAAAGCATAAAGAATCTGCATAAACTAGGTAACACCCCGTATTTCGGTCGTAAAATCTGCAAAAAAACTAGTGCGAAGAAAGTCGAGTCAGGCAGTGCATTCCACTGCTTAGCTGAAAAGTAAGAAAAGGAGATAATACCATAGGTAGTTGTTTTAGGTTTACCAAGTGATACCTCAGAGAATGTAGTTGCCTCGAAGATCACGGAAGAGGAGCGGAGTGAAAACATATTTTTCATGTGCGCTGGAAAATGATTGAAAAACAAACTCTTACATGACAATATAAGGACATTCTAAACGCGCGTTTATTACACAACGAAGTAGAGTTGACTTTTGTAAGAGTTCTTTAAGTGTTTTACAGGTTGTAACCACCATTCGAGCTTCTGCGAAGTCAAAGTTAAAAAAGTAATACAAGACAAAATCAAACAGACTAAAACTGTTGTACCACTGTTCGATTTTCTATTTCGAAGTTAAACTGACTCAAAAATGTGTTGAATTTTATTTTTGGTTTGAAAAGCTAGGACTAACGATCTCTTAACAAATCCATAGTTTCTCCTATTGTTGTTGCTTTTCTAATCATTTCAAACTATTCAAACCAAATCACATGGCACATTAGTCATGGAACTCTAGCGGGGTAGTTAATTTTCTGTCATTTCACTGCCCAAAAATATGGATCTGCAGCATGGACAAGAAGACAAAAGGTCTAGGGTAATATTTCCTTTTTAAAAAAGTGTATTAAGCAAAAACTTCTTTCACAGGAGGGCAATAACGCTAGTGGCAAAAAATTCTCCAATGATCACATTTTTTAACGCCTATAATGTATTTATTTTATACAATTGTTAAACAAGCATTCAACATAAAGTAATGTAATGTCCTTTGAAGAGATTCTACTACTTCAAGCATTTCTGCTAGACTCCTTATCACTTTTGATCTTAAAAGCTTGCAACTGAGTTTATTTATGATTTATTTATGAAGTGATGAAAGCAATTAAGATAAAGTTGAAATACATTCGATTGACCCTCGTGATTTATTCGGTTAGTTTTTATTGATACTATAGAAGGCCTTTTGAATGAAACCAAAATACAATGAACCTTTCATTTTTCTTCTTGTTTTTCCTATTGCTAACACTTTCACAGACATAATACTTATTATTTGCAAACTTGTTTTGTGATCTTTTATTTTATGGCACTCTTGGGCTATGTTGAAGACAGAGTCATTATGCCTTTAAACATTGGTCACGTGGAACTAATTTTCTAGGTTTCCCAATCTTTTGTCATGTAGATAAAAACGCAATTGTTTGGCAGAAAGTTTTGTGTTCTTGAATATTAATTCTTTGTTAACCATCGGCTAATTCGTTACAGGACTCTTTCGATTATTTCTTCGACGGATGAAAGAGAGCAACTGGTTCAACTTAACCACCATAGAAACTTTATTTCCTCCAGCTTGCATTTTATAAAACCAGTCAATTGATAATCTTCAGAATAAAAACTTCGGTAGCGCATTCGTTGGGTTGTTTGAAAGGTTAGCGAGTTTCAAAAATGACTGTTCAGCAGACAAAACAAATCTGTGATCGGTTAAACCTATTTTTCTTATAGTCGGCTAAGTTTTAGAAAAGGCGACAAAATACGAGAAAAAAGATACAAAATTCATTAATATAAAGCTATGTTACACAATTATTTTTAATTAACTAGATAAGCGAGGCATGGCATTTTCTGTTGTAAAATAGACTATTCTTATTTCGCCTGCATGCGCTGTTTTGCGATCAAGAACTTTGCTGTACTAACGAAAAAAAAAAATGCAGTTATTCCTTGTGCATGCATGAGAATAAAATTATGTTTATATAATGAGTCAAATAAGAAATGTTTAGTATCGATACAGTCTAGTTTCGCAGTTCCCGCTAGCTGTACTCAGTTTTAACTGTTAAGCAGCAATTCAATTTACGGGTAGGCCTTGTTGCATTCACACAGCAAAGCGCTTAATTTTCAACTTTATCTTTCTGACGTAACCATCAGACGAAAAATTGGAAATACTGTTGACTCCCGATAACTCGAACCTCGCTAACTCGAACCTTGCGCTAACTCGAACCAAAGTCGATTTCCCCTGGATTTCCTTCATACATTTACTGTAATATTACCCTTCGTAACTAGAACCCTCGATGACTCGAACCTCCCGTTAACTCGAAGTAATTTTTGTTTCACTTCAGATTATTTCTTTACAATTTTCCCCTCGATGACTCGAACCATGTTTTAAGCACGTGACAAATCGGAAAAAAAAATGGTGAACCACCGCACAGAAGTCCGAAACACTGAATTTATTTCAAAACTTTGTCGTTACTTTTGTTCAAATTCAGTCAGTCCATCCCTGTGAAGTGTGCATGATGGTTGCATTCCCTAACCTCATCTTTTTGCTTATTTGCTGACTTCCGGTTATTTGCTTCGAACTCCCGATAACTCGAACTTTGTTCGATTTCCCTAGAAAGTTCAAATTATCGGGAGTCGACTGTACTTAGCAGACATGGTCCTTGATAAATGGCATTCCCATCAAGTCACGTGGAAAATATTTCAAGATAATTATCTGCTAAGTCTTCCGCGTAATTATTCTTACTTTCGTTAAAAAAATCACCGCACTTTTGATATTTTTATCCTTATTAATTAACCGAAAAAAGACACACAGGCAGTTACCTTAATAAGCATAAAGATGGCTGGGGGAATTTTCAAAGACTTACATATGTCAAAACATTCCGGACATCGAACCTAGGAACTGCACATTGTGAGTTTTACAATAGCGCGGCGGTCCTAGTTGTTTTCAAAAACATATCGTTTCTTAAAAAGATGCGCCAAATGTGCTGAAAGTATGCCATTCCCTGAGAAATAAATAGCAAATTATCTTAACGTCGGTAAGATTGGTTCATAAAGACAGAATCTGCTCTTTGACCCACAATTATGTCTGACCTCCTATCGGGCAATGCTTTATTATTTTGTTGTTTAAAACTAAGTCGTTTAGTTTCCCACGGCTAACAAAATGTTCTCAATATCCCACAGTTAATAACTTAAAATGTCGTTAAATATCCAAGCTTTGAGGCCAAATAGCTAAGTCCATAAACCTTCTTCATAATTAATTGAGCGGGATAAAAACGCACGTGTTTTAGCTTATTTTTGAAAAGGATTCCTACCCGGACCAGCACGGCATTTCTAGATTATTACCCTTATTTTTCAAGAGTATGTTAAAATCCTGGAAAATTCGTCTCCTTTTAATATATAGCACATTCAGCAAAAGTCGCAAAATTTCGCAAAAATCTTCTAGATCTTGTTAAATCGTAATCTTTTTACTCCCCATTCAAACTAGCCACGGAATAATTATTCGGAAATTATTTTGTTTTCTTGCAATATTTTTCCTAGTCACCTTACAATCCTTTCAATAAAATTTAATTGCACTTCATATCCTGCTAGACGTTATTACCTTTTTCAATTGAATATCATAGCCGTCCGGCGCAGGTGGCTTTTTCAAGCCTAATATTTAATATTTGCTATTCTCTGCCACAATGAAAGTTACATTCTTTTACTTCCTTTGCTCTTTCTACTGATGGAGCCGGGTAATATTGGCAAAGCTTGAAACCTTCAATACCGTATTTCGATTCCTTGTTGTTTGCAGTTGATGCCTCTAAAGAGAACGAAAACATGTTCTTAATTACGTGTTCGTTTCTGTGTCAATAGCTTAAAAAATTATTAACAAGTCAAAAATAAACAGAGCAGAAAAACGGAATTTACGGACTCTCACCGTACCCGGACCTCTTAAATCTTAATTAACTGTGGCAGGTAGTTGGCCTTAGTTAATTTTTCTTTTCAGGGGAAAAAGAATGTTGCCATTCTTTTCTTTTTCCCCTCTGTTTACTCATTGAGTTATTTAGCCGCAACTCTTTCGCTTTAATCATTTTTTTTTATCAGCTTTTTTTTTGTTTACCGTTAAAAAAAAAAAAAAAAAACGTCCAGTCATTCCCTCTTTCTCCTCTTTCATACACCCTAGACGAGGCCATTCATCTCCTCTTCGCGTCAATTCTCCTTTCTTGCTGCGGCATTTGACGCCACCACTGGGGGCTTGGGAAGAAGATTAGGCAGGGAAAAAACAACTGCGCCAAATTACATTGGTGAGTATTAACGAATGCATAGCGAGAGCTTGGTAAAGTTTGTTTTCACACGTCATGGGTCGCCCAAGGCATGTGTCGTTCCTGTTCAGTGAAAATAACAATGACAAAGAACGCTTTATTTTTTCCGTCTACACATTAGCGCTTTTATGGCCTAGATTTAAACAATATGGAATGAACTGTTGCTATGTTCGGTTGTGTTAGGATCTGAATCAACGCCATTTAAGTGTTTAGGTCAAGGGCTGAATTAGAAGGTAAAAATATAAATTAAAGTGATGCATTTGTATTCCTGGAAGCGCGAGTCACCCCAGATCCGATCCGTTGGGTTTGGAACTGTTCAATTTCCAATCCGACGTTATTTCCCTGACATTATAAAGAAGAATGAAATAAATCGCTTGTTTTAATTCTATAGATTAAATTCATTCCTAGCTTTAACAGTAGAGCTTTTAGATGTTTGTGGTTTTTGAGCTGATTCAGTTTTAAACAATAATTTCGTTTTTATTTAGCTTACTTAGAATCGCAATGTGTTCAAGGTATTATGTAACAATTTAAAGCATTTTCCAAAACAATGCGAGTGCGGGAAATTATCGTTTATACCCAACTTTGAGGTCAGGGATATGATTTGGAAGTTTTGTAATCTGGGTGTGGTTTAGTTTTCTATGTCATTGTTGAGCAAAGTTGCTTTTACTATCAGAAATCAAGGGTGCCGAGTTGATCTACTGATGCCTTAAATTAAATGCGTTACATCAGTTTTTCTGCGTTGGAGTAGAAATCAACTATAAGTCATGGTTTGAATGGTGTTAAATATTACAGTGCATACACTTCCTCTATTCGTAAAAGGTGGTAAGGGAAATCTATTCATCGCAAGTTGTGTTTGCGCTGTTATGAATATTCGGTGTACCTCGAAGCAATCTTATTGGCTTAGAGTGTTAATCAGATATTGTACCCCCAAGAATGGAGATTTCAAAATTCATATTACGTTGTATTCCGTAAAAATGTTCTTCAACGCCTCAAATTGGTCTCCTCGCGCTATCAACCAAAAAATGAAAAATGTTGGCAGATCAACCATTTCAGTAATATCTGTGGTTGAAATCTATTGCAAAATTTATTAACACCGACCAGGGTGACAAGACAATGAGCTCGATATCAAAACAGAATAATGATATTACAATTTGCAACAGGTTATTATGCACTTTAATTACTCACAGTGTAATAGACTTGAACTACATTGTGCTGTGTGGCGTGTAACTGCTTCCGCGTTTTGACAAACGCCTTAATCACGTGCCGAAGAATATTCCACTCCCTTGCTCATAACGACAAAATTATTTCTCCAAATGACTGAAAGTTGTTTATATTTTTGTCTGAATTATTACCGTCGAACCTACAGGGAATCCTTTTTGACATTTCAGAGAAAAATCGTTTATCATTGGCTTTGTCTTCAAACCATAAAACTATCCAACGGTGAAAACTCTCGAAATGCAAGTTTTATTTTTCTTTTTTCTTTTTAAGGATGCCGGGGTAAAAAAAAGTGGAGTAAAACTCGACCTGAAGTTTCGCGCCTATGTGGGGAAATCTCTTAAAAGCAATTTTGTAATCATATTCCTACACCTCCTACACGTTCTCGAATGAATTATTTTCTTTTTTGTCGTTCAGATGACATATTTTATGCAACAGCAGGTGTACCATCATAAATTTAATGGAGTTTACACCGTCAAAAACCTGGGATAATTTTCCTCATGGCAATGCCTTTTTTCGACAAATCAGGCATTAATCTTAAATCAAGCACTAGAACATGGGTAATAAATTGAATAGAAATAATCATTTGCTGAAATCTTTCAAACGAAGTTCATAAACTATGTATTCTTCCCTAACTTGGTATGATCCCTATGTGTTCAGCAGTTTTTTTAATGAGACTTTTGCATTAAAAAAAATAAATATAATAGTAATAATAATAATAATAATAATAATAATAATAATAATAATAATAATAATAATAAAGTAATACCTCTCTGGGGTTATTTCTAGCTGGAATTGTACCAGTAGTATATTTGTTATGGCTTGAAAATGACCTTAAAAAAGTCAAAAGGTCTTTTTTTTGTCGTCAATTTTTATTGTAACAGCCCTTTACACAGTAGACTAGCAATTTTAAGGTCAGCTAATTGAAATCGTTAAATAGAAAATTCCACTTACTTAACTGTGCGAATAAAATAATGTCTATTTTACTGAGAACTGCCACTCGGGTTTTGTTTTTGCGCGGACGGAAGTCTGTAATTTATTACTTGTTGCTTCAAGTTTGTCACGAGTCTGTAGAACGTAATCCAATTCTTGCTTGAGATAACCACTATGGACTAACTATTTTATTGTTGACATCGAAGTATTTGCAAGTGATTGTCATTTTAATCTACTACTAATCACTTTTTCGTAAATACCGCTGTAATATTTACAGATTAATGTGGCTAACTTAGTTTTGTCTTCAAAAGGTAAAGTTATAGGCTTTTTGGTTCTCTTCACATCCAAACCAAACCATGCATGCCTTTTTTTTCCATCCGGGTTTTATCTGAATTTATCTTGCCCTCTTCCCATATTCAAAATGGCAAGCACATATGTATACTCAAGTCCTAGTTAATATATTATCTTTCACTGTTTCAAGTTTTAACGCAACAAGGGAAATGTATCGACGTTATTTTAATAATTAAAAGAAACGAATGGATAGAGTAAACTTGAATTTAGAAAGAATTATTTTCAAATTTGTCCTGATATCGGTTGGCGCAAACTTTCTGCGAATAATTCTATTTGGTCAACTGGCTTTTTCAGTACTTTTCTAGAAATTTCTTCCATTCAGTTCTCGTTCCTTTAAAACGTTTACAGTCCGTTAGCAACATAAGACCACCATGTTCCATTAACAAAGTAACAACGGCTTCGGATCCAACCATCTGCCGGTGTTTTACAATCTTTGAACAAAATGATGATTATTTGGTACTTGAAACACGAGACTCAAAACAAAGGCCACACAAATGAAATACTCTCGAGAAGGCAAAAACTCATACAGGCAACTCTTAAAACACGTGGGGTTTTAGGATGCCATTTTCCCTACTTTCATCTTGAAAACCCGCTGATATGTTTTTTTCGAAATTGCCTTTGTTACCAATACTCAACACATAATTTTTATCTCTCTTAAGTTAAAAACAAGTCCCTCTATTCAATGGACAGTGATGTCAACGTATCACAGACTAGTCGATATTGTCAAGTTTCTCGGCAAATTGGTCATAATTATTTTGATGAAAAGTTTATTATTAAAAGTTAAAATAACCAAAAGAAGCATGCTAACTTAAGAAAGTCGAAAGTGGTCATGAAACCCTTTGTACAACGGACTCATTTCAAAATATTGACGCCAAATCCATATTTTTTTTCCATTTTTGACTGTCAGAATATAAAATATAGTGTTATGATTCTTTCCTTCTTTCGTTTTTTTCTTATGCGATCCTCCTTTTTTTCCCGCGACTCATGTAGTCTCGTCTCGTTGCAACATTTTCCGAGAATAAAAAGAATTAATTAAGCAATGTCAACACATCTTGTTTGGAGACGGTGTTTTTTGACGTTAACTTCTAAATTAGGGCCAATTCAGAACTCGCTCCAGGGACACAATGATCTCGGAAGACTACATTAAATAGCGGTCTATCCTCATTGAAGTAGTTCCTTCTACTGTTACAAAACAATACGTCGATATCCTTCAGTTTATTATCTTTTATACATTGTTTACTCGCGGAGCGTTGTCCTTTTGTTGTCATTAGAAAACTAAAAAAGAAACATTCGCTTTCGATGTCAAGTTGCGTTCGCTCAAACTTGAATGACAACTCGCCTTTAAACGCATAATATAAAACGCGTCACATCGAATGAAATCAACTCCTTTTGCCTTCGCTGTAACTACAGCGTTCCTTTAACAACATTATCCGGAAACAATTGACGGGATATTTTACCATTTAATACAATCTACTAATGATACAAAGCTCATTTTTAACACCTCGGCACCTAATTTAATGCAACGAAATGGCTTATCGAACGAGATCTTTTGTGGGACTGGCCAAAACCCACTTAGAAAAGTATCATTACAGACTTCAGAAAATTAACTGAGGCGATAAAACGTGTTCAATGAAGAGTTCATAATTCTAGACTCCGAATCAACATTTGTTTTTTTCTTTCGAGTTCCTTTGTTTTGGTTATCACCGATGACGTCAGGACCGAATGATCTGAATTTTCGCGCCAGTAGAGAGGAAACAATTTTAGCATTAAAATATTTTATATTGAATCGCTTTATTTCCTCGTAGTTGTTCTCGTTTTAACCTAAGGCCATGTTTTTTTTCTTGTACAGAGACCTTATAAAGCACCTTTTTATTTAGGCTCACTTAGATATTTCCGCTAGAGAAGTTTATTTGCGAAGGGCAAGCAGCAATCGATTCGTTTCGTACATCACATTTTGGCATAGTTGTTGTTTTGCTATGATACTTAAAGAGATGCAAACATTTTACAGAGAGAAAGAAACTCGAACCGAAGAAGGTTAATTCAATAAACTAAGGTTGAGCTTTTCGTGTATAGAAAACAATACGCGTCGAGCAATTCTAAAGCTGTGCCCGCCGTGCACTCGCCGTGTTTTGAAAATCACGTTTAGAATTTCGAAAATCAAACCGAATATGTTCCTGTGTCCTAAAATAAGTCTTTACACGGTCTTATTAAACGCCTAACTTACACTTAGTTGTAGTCGGCAGGATACCTCAAACAATGGAAAGTGACACAACTTCGCATCAAATAATTGGTTTTGCTTTCTGCCTTCTGATTGGCTGGTTCTGAGCCTAAAAGTGGCTATAAGCCGGTCGAAACGTTGGAAACGTGCGCCTACCGAGCTATTACTAGTCCCGAAAATCTTTGATGGTCAGTGAGTCTCCCGAAGGAAAATCTTAATCACCAACAGATGGAAAGTCCAATCTCGTTCCGGGAAAACCAGTCCCAAATGACAAGCCAGTTTCATTACACTTCAGTTGAGCCTCTCGACAAGAACTTGAAGCGAAAGCGGCGCAGGAAATCCCCAAATCAGCAGATAGCGCAACGACACGCAGCAAATTTACGCGAGAGGAAACGCATGCAAAGCATAAACGAAGCTTTTGAGGGGCTCCGACATCACATCCCTACACTGCCTTACGAGAAAAGACTGTCCAAGGTAGATACTCTACGGCTTGCTATTGGCTACATTGGATTTCTTACGGAAATGATCAGTTCCGACATGAGTCACAGCCAAGCTTTACAGCCTACGTCCTCAGAACAGCCAAGAAAAGTTATGATCTGCCACCGCGGTTTCGGTAAGTTTTTTGAGTTTGCTTCCCTTAAAGCGTCATGTTAGTAGGGGTTTTGGGCGCATCTGGGCTGTTCTCACAAGTACGGAGCTGTTGGATATTGAATAAAATGACGTTTTGATAATATTCCTTTGCATTTTATAACTTTAAAAATAGAGGAAAATCATGTATTTTTTTCAATTGGGAAATCCTCAAACAGCAAGCCGATCTTGCTCTCAGAGACTCGCAAACGGCAATCAACATTCGCAGACAGTTTTTGAATTTCATTTCTTTTATTTATATATTTCATGTTTGCTCATTTCGTTTCCTTTCTCATAGGTAATCAAGAGTACGGTCTTCCCCCTTTAACGGGACATTCTCTATCTTGGACTGATTCGAAGAAACCTAAACTTCACTCAAGTATCATGAAGGCGAAAATTTGGACCCCCGAAGATCCAAGAATCCATAACAATACTATGTTTCCTTCGCCATTGTGAGGAGAGAAAATGCTGTTATATTATGCTATATCATCAAGGCAGGAAAAGGGTGTTCTGTAATTGTATTTTAACAGAAGTAGAATTATTTTTTAATAACTAGCTTGGAAATCGACGAGGAGATATATTGTAACATATTTTAATTGAGAAACAAACAGAGTATTATCGTACGAGGAAATCTTGGACAGGGATTCGTCGCCTCCTCGCATTTTTTTTCCAAAAAAAATACGTAACAAAGAAATCACATTTGACAAAACCACAGTGGGTTTATGTAAGACATTTTTGTAAATTTTTCTCCAGGCAAAGCATACAGAATTTGGATATTAAAAATGCATCGAAAACTTTATTACTGCTGTGTCATTGTGAACGATTTTAAGTTTGTTAATCTCTTTGATAAGTAAATTTATGGAAAACACAATTCGTGTTGTGGCTAAACTGTCTTTCTTAGCTCTGCAAGTAGAGCTAAACAAAAGAGTGTGTTCTATATCTTGGTGAGGGGGAACTCCATTAGCATAGCCCGCTTGACTTTTCGTGCCTTTAAAATTACGCGCAAATGAAAAATTAATGAGCAAGTTTAACACATTCGGCTGAAAAAATAGCACCACCATGCTCAAAGCTCAAACTTCAAAAGGTCGATGCTGGGGCCTTTTTGGAGCATACAGCTAGCAGATAAGCAAGTCTCCTCATTTGTCTTGTTAATACAACAACGTTATCAGATTTCCTAAGGTCTTCTGTTGTAGCAAGTATCAATGATGCTGGGATGTTTGTTAGCAACCTCAGACCTTGTGGCACCATTAGACGAAACATTGAGGTTTATTTGTCGTGTATCCTAAGAGTAAACGTGGAGCATTGGCATAGAGCGTTTGATCTTATCGATTGATTCGAGCTTTCCCCACACGTGTATGCGTGTTTGCACTTTCATTGCTTCAACCATGAAACATTTGTGTAGCAAATCGTTTAAGCGGCTCACACCCCCCACCCTTAGGTAACCACAACATGACGTGGTTCTGTTACATGGTACACATCAGCATTCCTAAGTGGGATGGGCAAAGCAAACGATCTGGCGTGGTTTGTTAAGCTCCACTACAATTCAGGTAACAGGTTGATAACTGCTATGTTATAAACAAGCTACCTTCAACAGGTATTATATTTTATTACCCAGACTATGCGAGACAAACGAGTTATTAGTCCAGTGGTGTGAATATCATCCCCAAGACCTGATACGTGTATTTGCATGATGCCTAAACGTGTTATAAGCTTTATCAGAGAGATATGAGGCGATAATATTGGTGCACAGAGCTCGTATCAGGGGAAACGGTCAAGTGGTTCTTGTAAGTTCCTGTAACGGCACAATCCTTTCAACGCAAACTGCCATCCCGTTGCTGAGTCCGTGGTCGATATTTTTCCACAGCTGCGGAAAGAGTATTGTTAACAGAACAAGAGACAGCTGCGGTGAGCTATTTCCAAGAGAAGTCCCATTTAGAATAAGAAGACAGGTATTATGCGAGCACACGTTCGAAGATTTACACAATTGGTAGCAACCTGCGAGAAATGAATAGTTCTTTTTTTCATTAAGACACTGCTCGATATCTACCCTGTGGAGACGAAAGCTGATTGGTCAAGACACGACACATGAGTTTTGTAAAGCCCGCCCTGTATTAGCAGACCTGAGCCAAGATCAATTATTTGGCCCTTTCACATCTTTGTTTCAATTGTCAACGTCTCTCTGCTAATTCATCGGTTGCATGCAATCTGTTTGTGACAGATTTCTCTACTATTGGGGATCGAACATGTAAGGATAGATCCAACGGTATCTTGAAGGTAGCACCCATGGTTAGCCTCATTGTCACGCCGAGCAAGCATGATCCCAGCGCGAGGAGAACTCTTTCTGACTTGTATCCTTTATTAAAGGTGTTACCCACGCCATGCAGTCAATACGATTTTCTTTTGTTTGAAGAGATTTAAATAGGAGAAGCAGATGTTTTTAGGCTTAAAAATAAACCATGAATGAATAATCAGTGTAGCTGGACCGACATGGCGAGTTTGGAGATTGACGGTTGAGATTTGCACCTCAAGGAAGACCCCCTTATTCGAGTAACAACCACCCATCAAGCCCTGCTTACAAACTGCAGAAAATATCTCGTACTTCGTAGAAGAAATATATTTGTTGTGTGAACTATATTAATTAATGATGTAAAGGGAAAAGTATTGTTTTCTGATAATGTCAACACATTTGACCACTGCTTGTAAAAAGCTTTTAAAAGTTGCCAAAAAACACAACATAAGCACGTTTAGCGTGGTTAATTAGCTAAACAGGCAAATTTTATCATTGCCTGATACAACAAGTCACAATAAACTTATTTTACAAATGGTATATTTAGAGGAGAACAAAACTCTCCCAGCCGCCTGGTTACAAAACTCAAAACCACTAAATCTTTAACAAAAAATGCCGCAAATTTATGCAAAAAGGTCATTTTTTTCATTTTTTATTCAAATTAAGTTGTTAACCAGAGCGTAAGTGAGTAAAAACGCGTGTCTAACTTGTTCAGGCCAGTTTTGTCGTCGCACTTGTAGAACATTTTCCCCCAAAAGAAGGTAGATTGCTTTAGAAAAGAAGTTTCGCGAAAACCTAAAGGTTTGCGCATGCGTTATAAATGAGAAACTGAACGAAATCTCAAAAAAGTGCAAGTGATAAACACATAGGCGTGAAATTTGTGTTAAGACCACCGCTGCGATGAACGAATACTAAGTCTATCATCCCCCAAACCTTATTTTCACGCTCTGTCGCAGTGAGTTAAATCTTTAGGTATAAGCGATATTGCGGCAAACGCCGACATTAAGGCATGAATATTTAATTAACTGCTCTAGATGAGATACTGTAGTATCGTTTTATCTCCGAGCGTCAGATTGTAGCGAGCGTTGTTGAAAAAGACAGCACACGGTGAAGATAGTGGGCGGTGGAACATTTCTAAGTAATGGAAAACCGCCTTGGTTTCCTCTTTGATCGATGATCGCTTTTCCACCGCTCAAAATTGCTTCATTAAACCTGAAATTTGAGGTTTTGTCAGATGAAAGACACTTTTCTTACAGGAAAAGTTACCGCTTTTCCGAGATATTCACGCCTTTTATACTTTAAGAAAGACAAAATCCTTTCACAGAACAGACTATAAATCGGTTCTTAACTTAACCGGATTTCGCTCGTTTTCGTTAAAAATGAAGTGAACGTACCGTTCGAGATTTACTATGTTTTGGTTCTATCAAATTTTAAATTTCCAATCCCTCAGCTTGACGAGATTTTGCTGAAACACTGTGAAGAAAACTAACAGTACAGGTTATCGTGGTTGAAGCAAATTAACACTAAAATTTAATCAGTTTTACTATTTAGTATCGCTTCAAACTTCAAGGCCACGTGCTGCCCAGCGAACTCTTTTAAAAAGCTGTTGTTTGAAGATTAAAATACATACAAATTATTCTATTATTTTTAATTTGGGGCCAAAGGTTACAGCTATTCTAAAACTCATGATCTTTTTCCTGACATTTTTGCGACCAAACCTGATCATCGAAGACAAAACTCAACGAGAAGAGCTACCGAAATTCTTGGACAAATGATTTGCGTTGCTTTCGTTCAAGTAGTCTTGTGCCACGCTTACAGTATTTGTTCTGGTGTTCGAAAAAATTCTGTGATTTTTCAAAGCGATGTCTATTATTCTGATCGAGGTAGCAGTGTTGACCGCTTTCTCCAGATTGCCTGAAGTGGTACATATAGACATTACTTTAACCCTGCAATTCGCACTAAAAACAAAACAAAGCCTTATTAACAAATGACATCTCCAGCGGAGGTAGTGATATGACGCTCTATTCTGAACGGATGTCAATTCACTCCAGGCAATAATTAAAACCTCGCGAGAAAATAGCGAAGTAATTACTGACGTTACAATCGCGGTATCAGTATCTCTGATAAGAAAGTGTAAAAGAGTGACTTCATTTGAATAAAACAATTGCAACGACAGTCGCGATAACGTATTTCACTCACAAAACAAAAAAGATATAGTACGTGTTTAAAACCAAAGCTTAGCTTTTATGTTGGGCAAAAAATTTTCTGTTGAGAGGATTTTTTTCCTTGAATCGTGGGCCCGAGAAATCCTCTCACTATGTTTATTTTCCCTAATGACAAAATAATTAACGGTGTTCTATGTTTCTAAGTCTGGAAATAAAAACCATAATTCATGAAAATAAAGATCGCAACTCGTCGAATAATTAGAAAATTGAAAAGTTATGTTTGACTTGGGGATAATGTGATCTCCAATTTTTTTTTTGCTTGTATTTTCGGCGAATATATTTTGTGTGTCTATACTTTGTTAGTTTTCTTCAACGAAAAAATTCAAGGTGATATTGGTTTTGATTCATTAAGTTTACTCCCGCTGTCTAAATACAAAAGTGAGGAAAAGTCCGTTGAAAATGCCGAATATGGAAACTTGATTTGTCAAAGTAAACGATAGACGAACTCAACAGCGCGTTTTTGAAGTTTTGCTCCTTAGTGACCGCTCAAAAATTTGAAGATAGTCGTGGAAAATTCATTTAGATTGTACACCGAAATGGCTTTTAACTTATTTGATGGGTTTGAATACACAATTTTTCCTTTTGCTTCTTTGCGTTTTTAGAGCAGGAAAGAGCGTTCTATACAAGCGATACATCGTGTCATCTCCGTCTTTTGTCAAGGCAAAAGCTCCGGAGAACACAAATACATGATATGCTAATGCGTTTTAAATGCTACGTACAAAATAAAGAGACGGCTCACGGCTCAATTAAAGCATTCTTTCTTAATAACTGTTTGTTTAATTCCGTACTCCAGCTGCTTAAAAACTCTCTGTACCGTGGGAACAGCACATATGCCAAAGATGATTTTTGACACAAAACAGAATAGAGGCAATTTCAATTTTGATTCTTTGGTGTGATATTTTGCGGCAAAACATCTCAGGTTTATAACAAACTTTTAATAATCAGCAAGCGTTTTTTGTTGTTGGTTGTGACCTGTCCTTTTGCAAGCGTGGTAGAAATAATCTTATACCTTCTTTTACTTTCTTGCAGTACGGGATGATTTGCGATTGACAATATTTTGTGGAAATTGTTTTACAAACATATTAATTGTCTGAACGAAGAAACCAGCGAGACAGAGGTTGTTCTTAAGTAGAGATCGTGCTGACAATATTAAAAATGCATTTATCCTTTTGTACAAATCGCTGCGATGTCCATGAAGATAGTATAATACAAGGCTATTTCCTTCATTCATTTTTTTGTCTATTCGTTCTCAATTTAAGGAAACCTTTAGAAGTTACAAACCTCTAATGATTTGTGATTTGATGTAGAGATTTATTTTAAAGTCTTCGATGTGGCGCTCAGCAAGAAATTTAAATCAATGGTAGCTGTCTTTATTTCCCTGAAGTAAATTTTTTTTAAAACTAACATCTTAAAACTAGGCTCATCAGCGACTGATGTTTGCTATTTTGTTGATATAATGCTAACTGCAGAATGATATATTGACGTCGATCAACATTGTTTTAAATCCACGGTAAATTTGTTTTTCAATTATATCTCGCGGCTCTAAGCTGTCGTCCTACTGTTCAACACCTCCTCTTTAAGCGCAGCGATCTATTTGCATTTTGTGATTAAAACTTGAAGAGAGTAATAAAAAAAATTCTTAAATCCTTGCAAAAAACTTTGAAATGCGACTACTATAAGCCGACTTCCTACCGTCAAAAAGCTCTTGTTAATGGCAGTAGGATTAAAAAGTAATGAAATATTCAAGAGTTATCGGAAATTGTTTTCCGAGATGTTTCTTGAAGCCAATATGCAATTTATTTCTTGTCGCTTCTTCCTTCAAACACTACCACGGAATAACAAGAATATAATATTATAATAACGTTCATCTAAAATTCAGTAAGAGAGAAGTTTACAACAATTATCGAGGAACCATCGTGATTGCATTATGAGCCGATTCGATTTTAGGGAATATATTTGTTTTCCGTGAACTTTTTATTTGCGAATTAATTTGTTAAGCTGTGAATAACTTAACTACTGTGAATAAACCGAGTAAAAACTTAGATAGCTGCACCTTCCTTTTTGTAAGGGGAGAATCCAAAGTCAAGTTTTAACTCAGTTCTCTAGTAAATTATATTACGCACAAACTTAGTTCCCGTACAAAGAAAATTGTGCCACAGCGATCGGCCTTCTCTAACTGTCTTCCCCACCTACAAAGAAAAAATATCACCCATATGTTATAATTCATTGTTACAGACATCGGAATCATACGGTATAAGCGATCCAATAAAAATGTTTTTTTTGTTAAAGAATGTTAAATTTAGTTTGATTCGCCCTCAAACACGGTATCATCAATACCTCAGGGAAATTACAACCACGCAGTAAATTACTTAGCCGAAATCTCTCTGTATTTGTTGAAGTCCCCACCTTGCAAGTTTTACACTGTTGACGTTGTCTCAGTTGCATCGTCAAGAAAGCTCATTTGAAATATGTCTTTAAATCAACGCTATCGCTTTCTTAAAAAAGAAAGTTACTAGGAAACTGCATTATAGCAGCTGCATTTTAACGATATCCAACAGTATTTGATTGCCTTTTCGTATTTTAAACCGATAGTTCTTTCACTTTGTGCAATCTTCTTTTGCTTCGAGCAATATTCCTTCTTTAATTCAAGGAAGCGTAAACACTTTCTCTCTAGGAGACAAAGCGAGAAAAATGGAATTTAAATTATTCCAGTCTTTCGTTGAAGTATTAAGTACAGATTTGTTTTTCTTTGCGAATTTTTGGTGAAATATTTCCCCTATTTTTTACGGTGTCTGACGATGAGGTTCAGTCCACAAAATAGTTTGGTTCTCGCAAACTAAATCTTTGTATTGTGTTAATTCGTGTAAGCGATAAGGAATGTTTCTCAAGTCCTGCAAATAAAGTATTTTACGATTCAATTTGCGGTCATAGCAACAGCTAACAAAATTTCTTAACTTCTTGGTAAAATTGTTGTTTTTGTTAATAGCTACCGACCTGACTATAACACAGTCACTCAAAATTAGCCTTGAATAAGGTTTTCGTGTAGGTTTTGCTCTGGCTATGTTCAATCTGTTTTTGCCGAATGTTTTTTCAGCTTTTAATTTAATATTCTTGAGGATGAATACATTGGATGTTTCTAATACTCACCGATTTCTTTAAAAAATTCAATTAACTGCTTTTTACTTTTTCGCTAGGCGACATGGTTTTACGTGTGGAATTTAAAGTGATTCTAGTTGAATAATGTCTATTTGGCCTTGAGTTCAAATTGTTTTACGCGTGGAATTTAAAGTGATTCTAGTTGAATGAATAATGTCCATGCGTTGCGTGTTCCGTGCGCATTACCACTGCAGCTGTAACTTTACTAAAGCTACTATTCGCGAATAGAAATAAAAACTCAAAAAAGTACTTTGCCCAAGGCAATAGATGATCTTCCAACGTTGAATGAATCATGTTGAAAGCATTTTTCTTAGCGTAAGCCTCTTCCCTTTGACCTGTCAGAGGTAAATTCACGGGAATCCTTTCTGGCACGAGCTAACAAATGGGTTTCGAAACGGAAAATTTCAAATAATACGTTATGAGTAAACGTGTTGCTAGTGTCTTTGATAACTGGTTTAGAATGAAGGTTGCTTGCTTCTAAGACTAATAAATTAAAATGAGAATTTTTTTTCTGAAATCTGTACAAAAATGTACAATTTCACAGTATACATGGTTTAATTCTGTCACTTATTTTTGTATTTCTCTGACGGACATAAAAACGCATCATGTAACTTTTAGCTGTATTCTTTTCATACATGGTCTTATTGATCTCCTTCATGAATCGATCAAGCACATGACTTCATGTAAAAAGAGAGATGAGGTTAAATGAAGCAAGATATTTCTGTACCAGTGAAAGCGAACCTCTGCCGAGAGCAAGAGTAAACAGTAAATTCAGTAGATATGAAACGAAAAAAAAGTTAAACAATGTCAAGATATACAAACCTTACGAGGCAGAAGGATTGAGAAGAAAACATGAACTGCACGAACAGAGCGCGCGCGAATCGAAAACGCTAGCTGTCTAGCAGTCGGCAAATGAGGTCTTAACCTGCTTTGTACGCTTTTATCAGCTAGCTATCGATCAGGCCGTGAGAATTTTAAAGGACAAACTCAAAGCGAACATAGTGTGTTTTTCTCACGGACTGTTAGACTGAAATTATTATGGAAAATCATTAAAATCCATTTAAACAAACAAGAAGTGAATTCCATCTGTCCTTTTCGAAGATTGCATCGTCCATCAACGCATTCCTTTTTCCGATAATAGTGACTTTTAAACCTCGGAGGAAACGTTGAATTGGAAATCCATAAAAAAAGGATTTGCTTTTCCACATCTCCGCCATAATATAACATAATGGAAACCGTATTGGATGCTCTTCAAAGACATTAAAATTCAAATATTCAGATTTCGGAAATCTCTTTCTCAATCGGATTTGAGGGATCTGTTTTTCGGCTCGGCCATTAAGATAAATTTCTTTTTAATTGATTTTGTTTTTCTCTGTGGTCGGCTTCTTTTAAGGAATTGCAAACTTTTGTGATACAAAATTATTTTCAACCTTCGAAGTTTTCCTTTTGGAAAATGATATTGCAAACAAGTAAGGACATTGTTGACAGTGCGAATAATTTTAGCCCTCAGCTGTATAAACTGAAAATGTAACAACAACAGTTCCCTAAAGAAAAATAAATGCACATGTATTCGACAAAAATCAACTGGTGCAAAACGAATCACTTATATTCAAGATTTCATGCAGTCGCGTGAAATTTCTACAAAACCAACAAGTGATACATAAATGAAGAAAGAACCTTAAAATGCGTCTTTAGGTAGACTCTTTCCTGTCGGCATTAACTTCCGAAAGTTTGACATTCTCTTTAGCTCTGATTTTAAATTGGTTTACCGAGCTAAAAGCAATATACATGTATGGGCGCGTAAATTACTTTTAACAGGCCCCCCCTGACTTGAAATAATATATAGGATACAGTATTTAAAAATCGTATCTTTAACTATATCAACCCAGCTAAAACATTTTCTCCGAGGATTTCACGGTCTATACATGCGTTGCTTCTTTCATCTTCCTCGAAATCAGTGTATTTGTATATCATTGTATTATCAGAGTGTTTTAACAGAGTGTTTATAATAAAGTTCCGTCTACGCATACTTAATGAATTCATAAGCACTTTCTTTTGTCTGCATTCCTAAAAATAGGTTAATGAAGTATTCAAATTTATGTTGGGTTTACATTTCTTCGAAAAAGTGACTTGAAAGTGAGCTAAAAGTAGGCAAGTTTTTAGCCTGTGTAGCAAGCGTTTCCGCGCGAGTTCGTCGAGAAAGTTGGGAAGAGAGAGAAAAAAAGGGGCGCACGCAGTAAAACTCTAGAAAACTGTGAAAAGGCTTGCTCTGTAGGCTAGTAAAATTTTAGTTACTGCAGTAACTATTGTAATCAGCGTTTAGTTTAATTTGTGAAAAACTACTTTAACTATCGTATGTTACTGGCCGGGAGAATCACGACTTCTAGAACACAAGTTCGTCAAGTTCGCGAACCTAAACTCGGACGAAAGCCTCACGTGATCCCCGATAATTCCAAAGAAAAGCCGCCTCTCCGTAGCCTTCCCCGCAGACATTCTTAGGCGTGCGTCACGCGTTCGTTCCCCGCGTGACGCACACCTAAGAATGTCTGCGCGGGAGGTTACCTCTCCGAAGAGCTTCCAAATATCGGGATACTACTGTATAAATTTGCCAAACGCTGACTATACTTTTTTTGTGGTTTTCAGGAAATCTGTTGATTCGGTCTGGCATGATGGACTCCCGAATAAGTTGCTGCAAATTAATGTTGGTGGTTGTTTGTTATAATTTAATTAAAATTTGTTAGTTTCAATGCAACTCTGCATGCTCAATAAAAACTAACTTCCCCAAAACCAACACAAATTATGCAAGAGTAAGATGAGCAGCAAGGCTGTCATTTTTGTTACTAAAAATGCATCTATGCATTTAAAGTCTACTAGACAAAATTAGAGTATGTACAGTATTCATCAGTTGCAGAAGCCACGCAGATGTAATAGCAGGGAAGGCGGAGCGCAATTTCAACCGCTGGGGGGCTGCGCTTGAAAACTCGTGCCGGAGACGCGAGTTCGTTGTGGGGGCGGGAGGGGGGATCTGGGATCTGAGAGCATTCTCCCTCAGAAAATTTTGAAACCTAGAGGCTCGGAAATGGTATTTTTAACGAATGAGATATTTCCTTGACGGGATCGAAAACTTTCAGGGTCACGTAGAAAAGAGAAAGCTCTTAATGCCCTCTATAGTTTGAGACGACACACGAATCTAAGTAAAATAGAAACGGCTCTTTTGCCGCTATTCTGACATATAATATTGAAATTTGGGGTGTGTGTGCTAAGATACGGCCTTTGCTGTACTTTAGGTACATATATGATCATACAATTAAAACTTGTTGTTGTTGTTGATGTTGTTGATTGTAGTATTATGTGTCGCCTCAGACGCTTTTACTTCATCCTTCTATAAGGAGAAAGATATGCCGACTTTGGAATAGCCTTCCTACTGAGTTACGGCTCAGCTGGGTACGGCTGTTGAGCGCTCTCTAAGGTCTTAATGGCTAGTTTGCCTTATGTATTATCTGGATTACACTTCGTGGATTTAATTCCTGGTTCCAGCTTCTGGATTCTTCAACTTCTTCAACTTTATTTAATAAAAATATTGACTACAATAGACTGGCCTGCAAAATAACAATTGCTGATCTAGGCGGATCAGTTAAAAGAAAAATAAAGTGAACGGAAAGGAATAGAAGGAAACTATTTTAAATTACAATAAATAATATTTCTATCATAGTTTTATTATAATTACATTAAATCTACTAAGGAATGACGAAAAAGGAATTGGCAGAGTGCGAAAAAAAAAAAAAAAAAAAACGAAACGAAATAAATACTTTTGTACAGAAATCACTTAACTGTTAATCGAACTTTTTCCTCTATTAATGACGTCTCAATATAGTCATCTTCTCTTTTTAAGATGTCGGAAAGCAATCTTTGAAGCACTTTCGTAAGTTTCTTTTTAGGAAGATCTCTAGTCATGTTCCGGATTCTTTGTCGGTGAAACTTGAATTCCGGATTCCATTCGTTAGTGGCTTTCCGGATTGGCAGGGGCACCCAACGTCAATTTGCGGAAAATATCTGTTCGGAAGACGATTTGAGATCTAGAATTTTCGGAACATTTGTTGTAAAATTTCTTGCTTGCCTGCCTCTCCTAGGATTTTCGAACATCTAAAAAATGGTATAATTGCCCATTTTTAACGGATTTTTACCCTAAAAAGGTCACCTAGAATTTTCGGGAGCCTTTTTTCTGGCTGAAATTTTGGAAAAGGTAAGTTTTGATCCCTATAATTTTCGGATCACTAGACTTTCAGCTAGGAAATCCGAACAGATGAAAAATTTGTAGGGGATAAAAATATGCATATATCTACCTTTTAAATTCTAAAATACGTTTAACAATGATATGGTTAAGTGGTTTTGAACTATATTCTCGTTGGGCGCCCCTGGATTGGTTGACCTGTTTTCCGGATTCAAAAGCCAAGGATTTCGGATTCCACAAGCAAAAAATTTCTGGAATCCGGAACCGGAATCCAGATTCCGGATTCCCTCACGTGGGACGCTTGGCTGTAAGCAGTTTTTCTAATTGTCTATTAGACGACTAGTAGTCCCTATTTTTCCTCAGGGATAGTACAGCGAGCGAAACGCGAGCGCGTGAAAATCACCCCACGCGAGAAAGGCGAGACGTGGTGCTGCGTCTCGCCTTTCTCGCGTGGGAAATCTAATAAATTTTTAATTTATTAGAGTACTTTTCATGCTTTGAATAGAAATTGTTATTGACTCGTGTTGTAGTTGTAGTAGAAAATAAAGGATCTTTTTAAAGTCTTGATGAGATTTTTAATTAAATAAGTAGATATTCATTCATCCATTTATCCATCCATCCATTCATTCCCAAATTATTCATTCAAATCATTCCCCTCGCACCTCGCGTTAAAAATCGTCGTTGCGAATCGTCTCGTCTAATATTACCTTAATTTGGCCGCGGTCAAACTAGAGAAATTAGGGCCGGTGCTTAGCAACGACGGTGGTGACGGCTATGAGAACACGCCGGGGCCAAACCACGCCCCAAATTGTGTCCTGAATTTTGGTTAATTTACAGTAACTTTGTTGGCTCTAACTCTTACCTGTCTTGCCTTAGCAAACTTTGTTTGTTTGCTTGTTTCGTCCAAAGGAAAATTCATCGCAGTTTTCGTCACTGGATTTGTCAAAAACACCACTTTCACAGTTCTCACGTTTAGTTATCGACAAAGAGATTCTCCTCAAGGTCTTGCCTCAAATTCAGAGGAGGCAATGACGACAGAAATGGAATTTATTCACTGATCTCTTAAGACGGTAATTTCTGACGCCATTTTGTTTGTTTATCCTTTGCGCGGCGCCCTCGTCAGGGGCCTAAAACTGCGCGCGCGTGTCACACGCGCGATGGCACAATTTGTGCTAAAAAGTCCTACCCCGATTATGGCCCCGGTACAGGGGTGGGGGGTGGGGGGTGGGGGGTGGGGGTGGGCCTGCCCCGGTACCTTATTATAGTAAACAAAGGTTGCTATTAGATAATATGATCTTTAAACCTAGCCAGATGCAGTTTAAACAACTTAACTGCCAAATATCAACTTCTTTCAAACAGTTTTTTTTTTCGACCAAAACCATCTCCAAAACAGCAGTGGCGGATCCAGGGGGCGGGGGACCAATTTTTAGGCCAAACTGAGGCCCGAAGGGCCGAAAAGTTTTTTGGAGACCGCCTACGCACCCCCTCCCCCCCACTCTTTTTAAAGGGTCTGGATGACTGCCCCCCTCTTATCTCAAGGTTGGATCCGGCACTGAAGATCCATGAATAGCCATTATAAAAACTAAGAGTGCAACCATTGCTTTTTTTTCTTCTCCTCCAGTTCGTTTCTCCTCGCTCTTTCTTCTCTTTTTTTCCTTTTCCTTCGCTGGTGCCGGGATTATCGAGCTTATCAGGCGTAAAAAACCTACCCTTTAGCCCTTTTTCAATCAAATGGCAGTAAATTTCGTTAGATTCGTTTTCAAAAGATGTGCTAGAAATATTAACTTCTGCAAGCAGAATACTGCAATGCTGATAGCGAAACAGCTGTCCATGGCTACAATCCCTCTCTGTTTTGCTTCCGGTGTCGTTCAGTGTAGTACGATCAGCATTGCAGTATTTTGCTTGCAGAATTTAATGTCTACTTGTTATTTTTGCTAAATCGGCCTCATTTTCATTTAGCGGACAGAATAATTGACCCAAGAATTCTTCTCCAAGCTTACTAATGTGATCGAACGTGATTCGTGACAATTTTTTTCTTGTAACTGTACGATTTTTAGCTGGATGAAAAATTTCCTCATTTTGGGGATAATTTTTTTTCTTCTCTTCAATCACTCGACCCCTCCATCAAAAGGTGAAAAACGCTCGGACTTTTGTCCCAGTCGACCCAGTCTCTTCGAGGAGGACATAGAAAGACTGGGGCAAATTTACATGAAATTTCTAAGATGGCGGCTGTTTCAGAACAATGGTGTATTTCAACAAGAATTTTTCTTATTCTGGTTATTTTATCGACATCTGCCAACGTCCATGGCTGGGATTCTATTGATCTTGAATTATTTGACCTTGTGGAAGAAGTCAAAGATAATTTTTATGGTGTTTTAGGCCTTAAACAAGTGAGTACAGTAATTTACTTCGGTTGGCTCTGACCACAAACTGGTCGTATATTGTTCGGATAAAAGCTCTCTTTTTACCATGTGACTATTTTTACTGGACCCGTACACCGACGTGTGTTTGCTATTCATACGGGATTCTGACTATATTGTTTAGAGTTAAGCACTGACAATACTGATTAGGGTTAAGCACTGAAAATAGTATTCAGGGTTAAGCACTGACTACATTGATTACTTTTAAACACTCACTGGAAACGGTAAGCTTCTTTTTTAGGGTTAAGAATGTTGCTATATATACTGAAATCAAAGCATCCACTACATCGCTAGGCATTGAAATACCTAGTGATGTAATAAGGTAATCGCCAGCAGTCGCTTAGGCCCTCTTCAGGGGTTTACTTACATGTATGTCCCTGGTCTAAATTTCAGAACGGGTCATTTCGCCTTTTGAGGAGGAGACCATATCGCTGTCAGTATTCACTATTGTTTTTGCTATTGTCTTTGTCGCTGTCACAGTTTCATCCCATCTTCATGTCGTTTGGCGCCGTTTCAAGGCCATGTCTCTTGTCAAATTTTACCCTAACAGGGCCTTGTAACTACACCCCGGGTTCGAATCAATTGTCTCGGGTTTGCATAACTGTCTCGAATTCTCCCAAACCCACTCTTGTTTATATCAGGCTATGCAAACACGGAAAACATTTTCTATTGCTCAAATGAATGTGGCACTCCCCTCACCCCCTTAATTTATTTGGGCATACAGAACTCACTGCAATAATTTACTGGAGTGATTGCTAAACAACAGCTTCCCAGTGGGCAATTACCTACTACCGAAAGCAACCTTTATTGAATCTTTAGGTATAAAATTTTATTTTTTTATATTGTATTTTTAGTGAACACCTTTCCACCTTACTCATTCCATATAAAATACTGTTTTTGTTGATAATGATGATATTGATTTCTTCTGCAGGATGCAAGCCAGGCAGATATCAGAAGAGCGTATCGTAAACTTTCTCTTCAGTTACATCCTGATAAAAACAAAGAACCTGACGCTGAAGTCAAGTTTAGACAGGTAAAATAATGTAGAAAGTATGAATACATCATATGACTCTGAAAGGATGAACTGTATTTTTATTTTGTTTTTTATTTTTATTTTTATCACATGGAAAAGCCACTAGTATGGATTTTAGAGACCAGGTCTAAAAACAGATGTGAAAATTGGGCAAGGGTTGTTGGCTTTATATGTGACGACTTTGCTAAAAGATGCCACTTCTGATTTTGTATAAAAAGTAGTGCTCTGCACATGGGCAGAATCTACTAAAACCACAGACAAAATTTTACAATGAATTTGATAAGTCCATTCCCTGCAAACAGAGCAAAATTTTTGAACAGTCGGTTACATGAACACAACATGTCAAATTTTTCAGTAAGTTAAAATTCCTCAATTATCTTGTGAATGTAGCCAAACATATTTTATTGATATTGCTGTTACTTTTACCTGATATCACACTTGTTTAAATGTTGAAATTAAATGTTAATTTTGTCATTTTCCCTAGCTTGTTGCAGTCTCAGAGGTTCTTAGAGATGAAGAGAAGAGGAAGAGGTAAAATCAGTGATATCATTATTAAATTTGTTCATGTTATCACTATTATTTTGTTTAAAAATATCAACTTACTTTTGTCTTTTGGTTGAGTGTGATATTTAATTTCAAACAAGACATACATCTAGCCACATTTTAAGTAAGGATTAAATAGAAATTATTTGTCAGACAACAAGCACGAAGGAGCAAATCATGAATAATATATAATTATGATAAATGATCAATATAACAAATAATATTCAGGGTTTGCAAATTTATTGATGGGTGAACTCAGTGTAAGTTCTGCTTTGCAAATTTTGGAGTCATTATGGAAGATTTGGAGTCAAGTAACACATTGAAAAACGAAAAATAAGCAATTGAATTTTATTGCACCTCCAATTCCCATGTGACTCCCCGTCGACTGAGCTGTCAGATTTCCTCCAATCAACACGAAGCGCAAACTAGCGCGAATATGTGCCAATCAGCATTCAGCATTTTGTACTGACTTTTTCAATGCAGATATTCAAATTGCAGAGACGTAGCTGCAAGCTCTCCTTCCTTTTCTTGCCCTGCCGCCAGAGTGCCCCAGAGAGCTTCCTTCCGCTCTGTGGTCAAGCTAATCCTGTGTAGCTATAAAGAAGAATCGTTAATTTTATGATTATAAAAGCACTTTATTTTTACTTTGGTGAAACAAGCAAATATCCACCATTTTTATTTTTTGAATTCTAGAATCCAGATTTGTTCCTTCCGGAACAAAATAACTTTTTGTATTTTTATGCTAATAAGAATGATTTCAGCAACTTTATACGAACATGTAGACTAACTCTTCCCTTAGATATGACATCATTTTACGTGATGGACTACCTGACTGGCGCCAGCCTGTGTTTTACTATCGACGAGTGCGTAAGATGGGACTCATTGAATTTGGCCTGTTAATATTCCTCATATTAACAATAGGACACTACATTGTTGCCTGGTCAATCTACCTGGAGAAGAAATTTGAACTGGTATGTAAAATGTTGATCTTTCATATTTTGATTAATTTTATTTCCTTTGTTTGCTATCCAGCCTTCACCACAGATGGCACTATGCTTCTCATTTGATCCGTCTGTGAAGTAGTGCGGAAATCCTTGTTCTGGGCCCTCACCTGTTTACCTGGATATGAGTATCGGTCATGATTGGCCTGTTCAACATCCCATTGTCAATTTGCCGAAAAGGTTGAAGAGAACTTGAAAACAAATTTCTGGTGATTCGATGAGTCTGTTGGGAGCCCATAATTGACTAGAACAAGGATGGCAGTGCCACTTCACAGATGTTACTAACTGGGGTTAGATATATGTCCTTAACACAGGCTATGAACGCTTTAAACCCTAGGATCAAAATTAAAAATTCTCATTTTTCGTCCTTATTCATTTACTATAGAATTAGTGGGAAGAAGTTGTTAAAATATCAAGCAAATTCATCTTGTGTGATCATGTCCTTAATTCTCATGACCACTCTATTTTACAAAGCATTGTTATTACAAGGAGAATTTTGATGCCGATCACTCTTAGGGTTTAAAGGGTTAAGCTATCCTATATCAAAACAATTTTTATCCCTTAAATTTTGTAACACGAAAACTTCTTGATCTATTTATTGATTGATTGACCGATTTGGGCTTCCTCACCATGTTTCCCTCTTTCGTGCCCATTAGTTTTTTTGTCATACAAGACAGGGGACTCTGTCTCTTTCTGCTCCAATGTCATTCCTAAGCTCTTCTCTCCCTCTGGCTCTGGGGGCACATTTAGTTTTGTTATTATTTTAAGACTATCCTTAGGCATTAAAACTGTTTCCTGTATCTGTTAGAAGGGTGGAATGGCAAGGATAGACATGGACTGAGACCTGGAAAAAGTTGGGCCAAATTTATCAAGTTACCAGCAAAAATTGGCAAAAAAATGTTATTTTTAGTACGCTCAGATGAAACTTGTCTGATACAGTCAAACCTCCACTAACGCCCACCTCTCCACAACGGCCACTTTTTTCGTGCTGGCGCACAGAAAATCCATACATTGTCTCTTGTTTAAAACCTATCTACAATGGCCACTTTCTTCTGTCCCCAAGGTGGCTGTTGTAGAGAGGTTCAACTGTATCTTCTTCATAACTCTCTCTACAGGAGCATTTTGTGTATGGAACGGGAGGGGGCTCTGCCTTAAGGTCCAACCCCTTGCCCTTATATACCATTTTTAAGAGAAAAGGTAGCCCTTTCATACCCTTTATTGACAAATGGTACCCCTTTCACATGCTAGTTTGGAACTGTGCATCCCTTTTAACTGCCATAAATGCACCGTCTTTTTTAAGTACACTGTATGATTAAATCACTAAACCAGAAAGTTCTTTCAACTTTTTCACAGCCATAAAATGCGCTCGTTAGCCGTTTTTGGTTTTTTTACAGACCGAAGTGGCAGATTTCCGTACCCTTTCCTATACTTCAATGAATGAAATCCCCACCCTTTGATAGACATGTGCCTAAAAGTTGAAAAAGGTACTCTTTCAAACGGAGTGGAGCCCCCTCCCCTCCCCCCCCGCTCCTCGGCGGTATAGGCCGTTATAAGGACCACATCCCTTCCGGACTTTACACTCACGAAACACTGGGAGACACAGATTAAAATACAACCCGGATAAGCAATAATCGGCCTTAGAGCCCCTCTACCCAGATGCTAGCCTCCCCGCAGACGTCCTTTGGGGTTCGTTTGTCACGCATTCATTTCTCCCCCGTGGGGGAGAAATGAATGCGTGACAAACGAACCCCAAAGGACGTCTGCGGGGAGGCTACCCAGATGCACAATTCGCACTAAATTCTCTGGGAAACGTTTTTTTTCTTGTCAGGAAGAACTGCTGTTTTCCAAAAAGAAGAAAGAAGACAAGAAGCGGAACAAGAGCAAGTTAAAATCCAAACTAACTGATGAGGATATTCCGGATCTAGCAGATATGTTGGGTAAGAAACTCTTCAAAGTTGTTCTTGTTCTCTTAAAGGTAATTCTTGGTTTGCAACTACTTGACAAGGCGGGCCATGATGTTGCGAGACCAAACAAGGCTAGTTTTTTGGCACAACTTTCATGACAAAACAGTTTAGTTCACAGGGGAGGGAAATGATTGTTCTTGTCAGCCAACATGGCCGCCGTAAAGTCCACTGCAAACCGGCAATTCGTCCTTTTTCCCTTTGTTCCTCTGTCTGTTTCAGTTCAAGAGGTAGGAGTAACGAAGCCCACGCTGTTTGATCTTCTGCCGTTTAAACTGGCCCAGATGACGGTTCGGTTTGTTAAGTCTCTACCCGAACGATATCAAGTTCTGTTGGAATACTGGGAAGAAAAAAGGAAAGAAAAAATAGAAGAGGAGGAAACTGAAGAAGAAGACGAGACAGACGGTAATTAATGCATCCTCGTGTTCTTTTACATTAATTTGCCCGGAGGCAGTTAAGTCAAGGTGGTGCTTGCGTGTAGCGGCACCTTCCTCCACCCCCGCGGAGTAAACGGAGGGGGAAGAGTGGGTGCGTCTTCTCACAAGCTACCCAGATGGTTAACGCATTGGATTTGCATTGCGGAGGTACCAGTTTGGAGTCCCGCTTCGAGCGTTTCCTGGATTTCATTTTATTCTTTCGGCACACATAAGCTTAAAGGGGATAAAGGGGTCTGGGGCGACTTTCGTATCGGCGCAAGTTCACCCCAGTTTCCTCTCTGCCATACCGCAATTGGAGAAGCTACTACCCTTTTATCAGCCACCTTACGATGCGACAAGGGCGACGTCCATGAAAACTTCGCTGAAAAATAGACTCCGCATCCTTTCAAACCATTTCGTGATTATCCCAGGTCGCCCAGTTACTTAAAAGAAGGGAGTTTAGGTTGGAGCTGAAGAGACTGGGCCGCGCCCGAGTTCAGACAGAGATGCTAGAATTTATCGCCTTGCCGTTCCCGTCCTCATTTGGTCATTTCACGTCGTAGTCGTGCACGGACGGCAAAAAAAAGTACAAAAAAAGCGTGATGCTCGTGCAGAGTTGTAGTTTTGCTAACTAAACCTATTGCTATTTGACGTTTGATCGTCGTAGTTTTGTAACGTCCCTATTTCTTGTGTGCACGCCAGGGTCTTTTCCATTACGACAGGATGTTAGGAGGACAGTCTAGGGACGCGAGGAAGTTATGTTTCAATTTGACCAGTGTAATGAATAATTTCTCGCTTGCTTTGACGCTACGTTTTAAGTTCAGTGTCAGTTAAGGGAATTGAAACCATTTTTTCCCGCTCATTTTCGGCATCCTACTAATGAACAGTTACTACATTAGTTTCGATATTTGCAAAAGCAAAAAGAGTTACTCATAGACTGTTCCCTTCAAATTTTCATGAATAATTTCTATCATGATATTAGAGATTTAGAGTGACATTTTCGGAAAACGACAATCGTCAGATTCAAGCTGAGATTTCTCAAAATAGAAAACGTGCAGCTAAGAAAAGCCCAAAAAAATTGTTACAGACAAAACAAACCTGAAGCTACTAATTTTGGAGTGGAAGTATTTCTGTAATAAGGAGTAAAACACAAGTTAAGGGAAAACTTGGCCACGTGATACAAATTCCCGTTTGCCGTTTGTCGTAAATGTGACTCTATTAGGGAGCTTAAGCAGCGACGTTTTTGAGCGACGCACGTCAATCGGAAGTGAGGTATTTTCCCTCTTAACATGCCTTGATGATATAAAAGTTCTATTCCTTAGTTTCTCTACTGTTATAGAGGCGATTTGACTGAAAATTTGCGCGAAACCACCGTCAAAAAAATGAAAAAAGGCCACTTCCGGTTGACGTGCGTCGCTCAAAAACGTTGTTGCTTAAGCTCCCTATTGTCGCGGACTTTTTCGGCCTTTTTTCGCCATTCATGAAAGAGACTGATACCCGTGCTTTGTTTTCAATTTGCTATAGATCAACCTGCAAGACCGAGAAGAAGACAAAGGGTAAATGTTCCTCAAGAAGACGCTGATGATGCCAACTGGGAAGGCGCACCTGTATCAAATGTAACAAATGCAATCGCGGAGAACGACAAGCAAAATGATGCAGTAAAGAAGGTATTGAATGTGATTTGTAGTGTAGGGAAGATAATCTAGAAATTAAAAGTGGGCTACATGATTTTCCCATAAATTCGCCCCTTGTCAGGGAATCCAAAACTGTCTTAGATTTCCGAAAGATCGAGCACGTTACGGTCTATCTCTACTGTTTTTTAGAAATAAAATCCTATTAGCCCGTGGAAATGTTTCATTATTTAAACACGATAAAATTTTTACAATTTGCACACAATGAAAGTAGACAGTGCCCAGATATCCAGTGTCCGTAAAGCAGGGTTGGCGATATACGAGAGCTTGTGACGCGGGACGCAGTAAAGTGTCCGTTGTCCGTATTTAGCGGGTTTATTCTACAGAAAATAAAGCTACCAGCTTTTCGTCGGGACAAAGGGAACTGTCCGTTATAGACGGCTGTCCGTATTAAGCTGGTGTCCGTAGAGCGGGGTTCAACTGTGTGTACTCAACTTTAAGCAGCTGCGAAAAGGAAGCCTAAAATTTTTACAAGTGTAATTTACAAGTGTAGCTAATGTTTTCGGACCCTAAAACAACAGTTGCGGTTACACTGGACACTTTTACCGTGGTAAATGACCCTTTTACCGCGGTAAGTTGGCGTGGTGCGTGTGACCGGACTTTCCCAAGATAAATGTACCATAGGAAATATCCATGGTTACGTTATAAAGAAAAAAGAAACCGAATTCGCAAAGTGACCAGCTCCAGCAATTTTTCAACATTGTTAACTTCCCCTTTGGTGAACAATTTTTTTTTAATCTTAGACAACGTCGTCTTGTACAACTCAACAGTCAACCGAATTTCGAGAAAAATTAAGCTGCAACTGAGGACAATATTGAGGACAAGTCGTTACGTCACGTTGCCATTGTAGCAAAATTTCTGAATGACAACAGACCGCAAACGTCACTTAAAAAGTGCATTTGCGCTGCTTCAAACTTCATCGATCCTATTCAGTTTCGTTTCAAATGTTGTCAAATGTTGGCGAAATTTTCTGGAGTTGAATCCGAAAGGAACGTATCTAAGTTTAGAAAAAGAATAAGGTTTTGTTCACGTACTCCATAAAGCGAGCGCGTAAAATTAGGACGTTTCATGTTGCAGTCGTGCAAAGACGGCTAAGAAATGTGCAAAAAAGCGTTATGCATGTACAAAGAGTAAAGAGTAGGGCACGTAGTGCCCGGTGTAGTGGTCTATCTCACTTTCACACTCATGTATGGGGGCATCATCACTCATTCCTTCAGTACTTGTAAACTGCACCTTAAGCAGTCTGGCAAAGTCCCCCAACCAGTGTTGTAAATTATCCCTGAAAAGCCCTGTGGGGAGTGGATAATAAGATATTTACAATGTACAAAGTTGTTGTTTTGCTAACTCAGCGATTTTTGCCGTTCTCTTCGCCGTGATCGTCGTCGTTGCTTAAGTTCCGAATTAGGTGACGTCACACTTCTCTCTGATGCTTTGTGGAACAAAGCTGTAAGATTCGCACTTTGAAATATCATTTTGTGTTGTTACAGTCAGGTGAGTGGACGGATTACGATCAGTCTCTTCTTACCCGCGCCATGATCAAATTTCCTGGAGGAACACCTAATCGCTGGGAAAAGATAGCAGTGGAAATTGGACGATCGGTAGAGGAGGTTAGTCAAGTGTCCCGGCGGAATGGGTGCGGGAAAGCCATCGGTCGCTATCGTTAATCAAAAAGCAGCACGCAGAAGTACTTAGAATTTTACAGTTAAACATTCTTGCACAGACAATTAAGATAGGTCCACCTCGTATAAATCTTATTCCAGAATGATGGCAAAGAGGCCATTTCCGAGTTCGCCTGGGCCTCTGTTTCAAAACGAGGTTAAGTGCTCAGCCTTTGATATGGAAATCATTTTTCATTCTCACGCAAATAAAACTAATTTCCACAAGAAAGGTTGTACACTTGGCCTCATTTTGGAAGTGAGGGTTTTTGGAACTTTGAAGTGGCTTATTAAGTTATCCCTCTGAAATCCTGTTCGATATGTTAAAATTCTAACATGACTCCAAGGCTTTCTGGTCATATTTCTATATCTGGTTTGGGTTTCTTTCTGCTCAAGTCTCCTCTGGGAATGGCGAGTGAAGTCGAGTCGTGATAAATTTGCCATTTTGTCCGTAAAGCCTCGGAGTCATGTTAGAATTTTAACATATAGAGCGTGGGCTATTGGTCCTCGATGCCTCGTTTCAAGGTAACAGTTCTTGATTTTGTCCTTTTGATCAGTTGATTTTTTGCTGGTTTCCATAACCAGTCTCCTCCACTAACTATGCTAAAATATTTAACAATTTAGGTCACAAAACAAATGAAGAAGTCAAAACAGTCCTATGGAGCTCCTGTTCACCCAGCTAATGCAGGTAAAAAAATTAAGGGTGATTTTCCACCGGCTGAGAGTAACAAAATAAGGGGAAAATGCTTTACTCACACTCCTCTGGGGGCCTGGGTATAGGTCATGTGACCGAAAGGCGGGCAATTGCTTTTGTTGCGTCTGCCATTACTTACCTTCCCACCCTAAGATTTCAGTTTTGTAGACTGTTGTAAATGTAATATACAACTTTGTAAATTCGTTAGTGTTCCACCTTTCTAGGGGTATGTTATGTGTACATTTTTATGAATTTGGAATAAACGTCAGGCTGCGGCGGTGGACTTGGCAGGCTACCAGTGGTTTGTGAGAAAAAGAAATTTAGCACGAACAGAGAGTACGATAACACCCTACCGTGGTGATGTTGTTTTTCAATATCAGAGCACGTGGTGTCAACACTTGAGATCTGTTTCTCTCAAATTTCGTCCATTGCACGTACATATAAGTGAATGTATGCACCTAATTGCAATAACGTTGTCTTAGTAGTGAATATGCTGAAAAGAAAAATCGTAAAAGTAAAAAGCCAAATAGGAATTAACTAGCTTTGGTCATATTACTGATGAGCACCTTAGGGTGCATTTATTTGCAGCATAGGCGTTTGTAAGGCGTAAAAGCAAATGCAATTGCAACGGTTGTACTCATATGATGCACGTGCATGGATGAACCCTAATAGTGGTTTATTAATTATTTATTCATATTTCGGTTTTTAAAATGTTCATTTTTCTTTTTAGCATTTTCCTATGACAAAGTTATCACGATTAGAAGTAATTTAGAACAAAAATAAGGAACCGCCTTTTTTAAAAACCTCACGGGATAAAAGTAATGACCGACCAAGGGGGCAAGCAATAAAATTTCTTTCTTCATATCACGTTTTAAGACTCCACTCTGATGAGGGCTGACGTCTTAGCCAAACCTCAGTATTTTAAACTTTGAATTTTATTTATTTCTTGAACCAAAGTGGCTTTTTTGTTGGTTATCATTAATTTTTCCAAATTATCGGGAAAGTAAAGATGGAAGGGAAAGAAAGAAAGAATCGTAGTAAAGTTTTAATAACTTGCTCCTTCTAGGAAGAAATGTTTTGTATCAGTGAGGGTAGGCTTTTAAATCGAAGAGAACTATAATTCCAAAACTACGGAGAACAATACAGGGGCTTTTTTATATTCTGAATAAATCTATAATGCCTCCTAGCTAGATCTAGATCTAGCTAGGTGTTGATCTAGGAGGCCTGTACCTTAGATAAGTAGCATTGTCTTTTTTAATGTCTTTTTTTCTGTGTGTGGTACAAATAAGGATCGTGTCTTGGCTTTTCTCGTCTTGTCTTTTCCTTTAGCTGAAAAAGCTTTGTTGTGTTGGCTTCACCCATCCAAGTTTTTTGTCTTGTCTTGTCTTGCGTTGTCCTCTAGCTGAAAATGCTTTGTTGTATTAGCTTCTTATACGTTTCTCGGAAACTGCCCTCCTACCCCTCCCCTAAGCCAACATTAACGCCTACTCCTCTTCTCCAGGTGGAGGCGACTTGAGCACATTAGTCATGAACAAAAAGAAAGCGATTGTGAGCGACGAGTGTTTGTCTCAAGCCGACGAATGCTACAACTTTGGAAGTAACACGGGTCCAAATCACAACAGAACAGCAAAGAAAAAACAGACCGGGAAAAACGCTGTAGATAAGCCCGCAAGTCAGGTAACCGCTGGATCAACGGATAGCAAGATAGGAGAAACGCTGGATGGTGTGGAGACTAAGGCGAGTACAAAAGAAGATGGCGCTGCTTGGAGCCAGAATCAACAGAAACAGCTGGAGCTTGCTCTTCAACAGTTTCCTAAAACAGTAGCAGACAGGTGGACTTGCATAGCACAGGCGGTTCCTGGTAAAACCAAGGTTGGTTTTTGTGGTGAATCTGTTAACGGGTGTTTGACAATTATTCCTCGAGCCCGAATGGGCTCTGAGTCAATAACCCATGAGGCCGAAGGCCGAATTGGCTATTGACTCAGGGGACATGAGGGCGAGAGGAATAAATGTTTTAGTAAAATCAAACTAGTTGGTCAAAAATATCGAGAATAAAAAAAAATTAGCTACTTAAAGCTAGACTTTAATCCTTTTTTGCAGCCAAAAAGCCGGCGCTTTTCGTTACTAGAGGGCTACAACATAATTTTATAGCCTAGTAGTAGCTCACCCAATGAGAACGCAGCATTGATAATAGACCACAAGCTGGATTTTACTAATAGTGTTTATTTAAAATATTTCTTTGTCTCTGGTTAGCTTTTATCCCTCTGCTAATTCTTGATTTTCAACTAGCGCTCACAAAGTTGCTCGTCTGACGTTCACATGCGCTTTAATGCCTGTTTACGCCAGTCGAGCAATTTTCTCCAGCAAGCCTCGTTTTGAAATTGCAAAGTTGACGTTTTGCAAAAATTAGGGACCTTAAGCGAGGACGACGACGGTAATGAAAACGACGGTAAAAAATGAACTGTTTGCGTTCTTTCAAACGTAATCGCGTCTATGTGGAGCCGCTCAATATGACAAATGCAGGCGACTCCTTCCTGGAGTTGAATTCGTAATTCGTCGTATGTCCATGTCCTCCATGAAACGTCAAATTAGGAGGTCTCACGTCGTAGTCGTGTAGTGGACGTCAAAGAAATGTACTAAAAGGCGTGATGCCCGTGCAGAGCTGTTGTTTTGATCATTAAACCTATTTTTTTCTTGAAGTCGTCGTTGTGGTCGTCGTCGTAGTTGCTTAAGCTCCCTATTGAGACGAGGACGGCTACACAGGAAAAAATAACGGATTCCCATTTTTGGATATTTTGGAGTATTTAAAGAATACCCACAAAAATCCCAAATTTGGAAGAGTTAGACAAGTCCCAATCTGGGAACTTGGTTGGGAATTGCCTGGTTGGGACTTGTCTCACTTTGCCAAATTTGGGATTTTTATGGGTATTCTTTAAATACCCAAAAATATCCAAAAATGGGAATCCGTTATTTTTTCCTGTGCTACGAGGACAAGTTATAACTTTTTTTTGTTTTTTTGTTTTTTTCTGTTTTTCTTTCCCGTACGCTTAAAATATTGGCACCCCGGAAAGATTCATTGCACTTTTTTCCTCCAAAAACGTTAGTGAGGTTATTTTTATTGAAGGAGTTAAAGACGGAATCCACCAAGAAATTGAGTATATAATTTTATTTTTCAGTGGACAAAAACCTTGTGCCAGAATAATTTAAAGAATATTGCAATCTTTCAGTTTGCATTTTTCAAGGGCTATAGATGTAATTAGTTATCTGTAATAACACCAAAGGAAAGTTCTTGTGGGAACCCGAGAAAACAAATTTCAAATTTCACAAGAATCGTGAAAACGCAGGCAAAATTCTGAAAATTTCTTGTGCAAGCTGTCATTTTGTGAAATTTGACATTAAATTTGTTTTCTCGGGCTCCCATTAGAAATTTTCTTTGGTGCTATTTCAGATAACTAATAACATCTTTAGCCCTTTAAAAATGTAAAAAATAGAATGCAGTATGCTTTAGATTATTCTGGTACAATTACTCAATTTCCTGATGGATTTCGTCTTAAGCCCTCCCCCGTTTGCAAAATGATAAAACTTCTAGCATTTGCTAACTTGTTTTCGTCACTACGAAATTGGTAGAATGACGACGGCTATCACGTTTTCCCGCCAAAATGACTGGTTCACGCGCAAGCACCACTTAGTATTGAAGAAAATCTCGTTCTCGCGGTCGTTCTCGTCTAAGAATCTAAAGGTCTCATTAACCTCTCTTGTTATAACTTAACTGCTCCCAAAAGAACTTGTCCGACCATACTAGGTTTCAAATAAAATGGTCGGGCCTTTTGATACAACTCTAATCATTCATTAAAGTTTAACTTTAATATATTGTTTCTTTGCAGGAAGAGTGCATTTTGAGGTATAAATTTCTTGTGGAATGCGTACGAAAGAAGAAGCTGGCTGAACAGCAATAACGGTTTGAAATGAAAAATGCATATTTATTAAGAATTATTTTTCAGTAATTTATTGACAAAGGATACCTCAGATGTCTTGAGCAATATTTTATGATATGACAAAAATGTATTGCGAGAATCTTATATTTTTGTAGCTAAGAGATATAAATATCTGTTTATGAACATGCCATAACATTGCTAAGATTAAGCGTTATGCAGTCAATTATTTCGCAGATGGGACAATCCAAATGTTACGAAAAAAAGTATGCGATGATTAGATACCAAGGCTGAGAATGCTGCTATTTGAAACTTGTAGCTTTTTAGGTTTTTGTACGACTTAACCTTCAAATTTCATTGCCATCAATAAATTGACGAGAAAGACATACTAAAATTGATTAATTTTTGCAGAAAAATTATACTTATTTTGTAAGTTACCTTCGGCCTCGGTGGATAACACCCTTCCCGATGTGCATAATTCTTCATATAATACTCAGCCTCATTCAATAATTTAACACTCCACCCCGTGTTTTATTTGATATAGAGACAATAAGAAGTGGGTTGAATAACGAGGCGTGGCCGAGTTCTTTAAAACTTACTGCAAATTGTTCGGATATCGAATGTAACTCTGAGTGGAGTGTTTGATATAGCTTCTGAAATGTTCCCAAACTTTTGTGGCATTCAAAGCTACGTCATGAAATGGTTTTCCTCTCTGTGCTCTATAAATTATTAACGAGTCTGAAATCACGGTAGCTAAGGCATTGTTCACCCTTGTTGCCCGTGCACGTTGACCGAGTACAGTACTCGCTGGACACTAAGGCAGCGTCCACTCTTGTTGCCCGTGTACGTTGCCTGAGTGTGTTACACGCTGGACGCCAAGGCAGCGTTACCCCTCGTTACCTGTGCACATTTTCCCGAGTACAGTACTCGCTGGACATTAATATGAACACACCCTACTTTCAAATGCTCATGTGAGAATTCGTACACGCTGCCGATGCCCGATTGCAAGGTCGAGACCTTGTACTCAGGTACTTAAGTGGGCACCGGGTCCCTGTAAGCAGACGTTTTTTGATAGTTCCCTCGCAGTCCACTGCTTTGCATACCCATCACTACCTGCTGCGCCCAAATTTTGAAATGGCGTTTGACAGGGCGAAATAAATTAAATATGCCGGAACATGTCGAATACTCAAGGAGTGAACAAGTTGTGCTGGTAACTATAGGCACTAGGACCGAACCGTAAACAGCCCTTAACACCGTGAATTTCGTTCGTTCGAATACTCCGTTATTTCTCAGTGATTTGTGTGCGATGAAACACTGTCACTCGTGTTTGATATACTACTTTATCAACCCGCAGTCCGTCCCCCGCCAGCAACTCTGTATTCTATAATGTTCATATCCAGTTGAAGAGTAGGCTGTTCACAGTCCCATATTTTCCCGTGAGGTCGTCGTGATCGAGCGCATTGCGTTTCGGGCAGCCAACTTGGATGAGTGTCAAAACTACCGAAATCTTTGCGAAATCTTATGGGAAACAAGACCCTAAGGGGCAGGAGCTCCACCCAACCTCCCTGGCTTCTCTTCTACCGCATGGAATAACTTGCCATTGAAATTAACGAACTATATCCTTTTCGCTCTTTCTTATCGGACTTGTAATTTTCTTTTTCAAGTTATTTATCCTTTGATTTGTTTATTTATTATCTCGTTATTAAATGTTTCTTTATTTTCTTTTCCTGGTATAAACGACCTATTTTGTAAATGTAGTACCTAAAAAATCATTCGAAGCAACAATTTTTCATAGTTTTGGAGAAGAACTTACCAACTGCTTGGTCATAACTCATTAGCCAAATATCTTTGTATCATTTGAAGGTAATTTGGAAAGTTTGGATGACACATTCATAATCGCCAGTCCGTTGATCTCGTAAGCTGATTTCTTTAAGGACCCTATAAAATAACCTTTCAAGCTTCGATGTGTCATCTTAAGGTTTGCAGAGGACTTAAAAATATAGCCTCCCACGACAAATGGTTTAACAGCCACACAAATCGGAAAATCATATATTAAGCCGTTTCATATTGCCAGAAATGCATCCAAGCGCGCAATTCAAGCCTCCGCTGTCTTGATTTGCTAATCAGTCAATCGCCAGACCCGCTTTCCCCGCCCCAAGCAAGGGGTGTTGAGAAATGTTTCAAATTCTGTTTGGCCAAATTCGATTCTCTCCGGAAACTCTAAATGTGCACTCAGTGTACTCTGTATAACGTAAAAGCACTTCTTGCTAGCTTTCCGTCAATCGGCTGGCTTTTCTTAACAGTAAACAGTTTACGTTCTCGTTTTAAGTGGACGAGTGAGAAATACAACCAAAAAATCAGGTTAATGTTATCAAATAAGTAAATAAAGCTGACTTTTCGAGCTTAAAGAATAATACCTATTGAGTAATATGACTTTTTTCAATGACCTATAATCAAGATAAAGGCCTACACGTCCGAATTATTTTATTCCAATATCTAATTCAGTGTTAGCAATTAAGTAAGGTTAAACCTGTCTGGTAATGGGCAGGGCTTTCCGTGAAGTAGCTTAAGATCTGCATAGGATTTATTTGATAAAGATATATTTTGTTTTCCCGAAGATACTGGATTACGAAGGATTATCGCACAAAAAATGCAAGGTTATGACGAATTTATCGTAGATAAGGTGAAAAAGTGGATAAAATCCGAGTCAATGGTATCCTAAAACTCGCAACTGAGCAAAAATAGTCACATAATCAAGAAAAACGGTGTACTTTGAGTCCTTAACATTTTACAGAGATTTTTGTGACGGTATACCCCGTTCAGTGAAATTAAGGACGATCAGGTAGTTATTTCGTTGGGTTATAGGTGCACATTTTTGTACCTTGAGCAAACTTAAGTATTTAAAGTTTGACAGCTTGCACCTGTTAAATCACAGTGTACAAGAAGAATATTTCGTTGTTGTAGCTTATTAATTAAAGCTAACAAACACATATAATCCTATAAATCTTTAAATTATATATGCTTTTCTTAAAATAGTATCTATCAAACGGCTAACAGACAAGTGACTCCAGCCCAGTATAGAATCGATAAAGAGATACACTTTGTCTTTTCTTTTTAGATGGTAATTTCAAGTAGGCTTAAAAAGGTCCCTCTAACTTATTAATAAATTAATTCCCGCGCCCTTCGGACTCTTGTAACTTAAAAAAATAAAACTGATTACGAAATACATATGTGATCTTTATTTCACCTCGGCAGTATTTATAGCATAAGCGCAGGTGGGGCCGAGCGGTAACTGAAACATAACAAGTTTAAAATTTTCAACCGACGAGATGTAAACCAGTTGGCTATTTTCAGGCGTGGCCGAGGAGTTGAAACGTTTGGGACGGATTTGAACTCGGGCCTCCAGAAGTCGTTAGAGAAATCGTCATTCACAACTGAGTGATCATAACTCATTATTGCTTTGTTGACTCATACTTAGTTTTAATTAAAAAGAAATACCTTTTGCAAAATAATCCAAAACCCTATAAAGGATTATTGGCAGAATTATGGCAGATCTACAAGAAAGATTTCGAAGCTGTTTATTGCCAATTATTTCGATATTGTCCTTTGTAACTAAGGCTAGCTTTGATTCACCTCTGCTAAGCTCGATGATAAGACTCATTCTTACGTTAAAGACGAGTGTGTCAGCTTAAAGCTCTTAAATAGAAGAAGCGTGATAGATAAAGATACTTAAGATCATTTTTTCTCAGGTTACGTTCATACGTTCGAAAATTGGTACGGTTAGCTGTTCCGTTGAAACAGAACCACGCTAACCGTACGAAAATTTGAACGGTAAAATCAAGGTCAAGTTTTTGACCGGTACGGTGGAAAACTCAAAGGCATGATGTGAACACTATGACCGACTAAATTTTTGTACGGCAAAGGGGTGGTTGCATGATGCGTGGTTACTCAGCTGGGAAACAGGAGAGGGGAAATTGCAAACAGATATTGGGAACGTGGATTTACGAGTAGTGTTTTTTATACTTGCTTTGCGTGGAAATATCACGATTTGACACTTCCGTGTGAAAAGCGCAAAATTCGAACGGTACCGCCGGTACCGTTCGAATTTTGCGCTTAATTACCGGGAATTAAGCTGTCATTTGGTAGTATTTTATGGCGGCCATTTAACTTTTGACGTTATAGAGAGTGACTCTGAGATTTTTTACGCTAAGTCTGTCTTCCAAACTTCTATAATATATAATCCCGCCTATTGACAACTGCTAGCTTCTTGAGTGAATTCGTGAGGATTGACGGTAGATTTTTTTAAACATTGCAGCAACGATTCCAATTTTAGACTAATCATTTTTGCATGTCGAAAGAAACCGATGGTAAAATGCAGCAACAGCTATGTCAAAGATATGTACAGACGTCATTTCAAAAACGTCTTTCATTGGTTCTTTTCATTTCACATTTTGTTGTTTAGGTTCATTTTGTCTTGGATTAATTTTTCCCATTTTTCTGTTTTCGGTTCGGTTATATGTTAATGTATCGGATAATAACTGGGAACAAAGAAATAAGATATTAAAATCAAAAGTAAGGATAAATTAATTTAACCACAACAGAGACATGATTTCATCAATGTACAATTTTTCTGCATTTCTTGAAGGTCGGTACTAGAAGTTCCTTCATTTACTGAAGCCCCATAACTACCTTACGAAAGTATACAGTAGTCTAAAAACATTGACATTTCATTTCTTGTTGATTCGGAGATGATATAGAGATTTTGTCACTTAAGCTCACCAGGGATTTTTTTTCTCCGCGGATGCATAAAAGGAGTTGTAATTTGAAAGCACTATGGACGCTCTGCTGAACAAAATTCTAATCTATATCGCCTGTGTAACATCGCAAACTCCATTTTTTTTCTGTGCTCATAATGACACGCAAGCATCTAGCAGCCCATAACCTTTTAGGCCGATTTGCCAAATTACCGGGAATAGCATTGCAAATTGAGTTAACTATACCCTAGACTACGAGCAGTCGCTCTTTTTTCTTGGTCCGTCGAGCAAAACGCCCGAGACACGCAAATGACCACGCTCGCGCGCGCGTGCACTCCCCTTACTAAAGCTGAAGAAAAAGAGACTGCTCGCAGTCTAGCTATACGCTCTCGTAGTTCATTGTAAGACGCTGTAAAAAAACCAAAACAACACACCTTGAACCCATTTCGCCGAAAAATTTATCTTGCCCACACGTATTTAGGGAATTCCGCATTAATCCGCACGACAATGGATATTGATGGTTTTCTCTTGTGCAAAGTAATTACGGAAATTTGCGGGGAATTAATTTCTGACCTAGATAATCCAAGAACGGAAACCCCTCTTGAGATGGGTGAATCATCATTCATTAAGGACAGGAAACGACTTTTTTCTGTGAAAATAACTCTTCGAAGGAGCAAATATTGCCTAAAGTTTCTATAAAAGTTTTAGAACGCTAAACAATTCTTGATAACCGTTCTACGTCTAAGATATTTGGAATTTTTTTACTAACTTACCTACGATTTTCGGAGATTGTGTCTTTCACAATTTATTACATGGATATTGCAATTATCATAAAAAATATATATATATCTACTTTCGGTATAATGAAATAACGTCCACTAGATTCTTTAATGAAAATACGGCTGCTCTCCCCACCCATATCCTCGAACTTTCGACCCTCGGAGCCTTGAAGGTTGCTTAAGGCCCCGGGGGGTTGGGGGGGGGGGGTACTCCCTTATATGAGCTGTATAGGTATGTGCCGCCCTATCAGGTAGGATTTTTGCGCCGTTTTGGTTTTTGAGGGAACTACGAGAGTTTATGAACTTTTTTATCGTTTCAATTCCAAATGAGTAAGAAAGAAAGAGAAATATGCGAATTCAAAATTGTTGTGGTTTGCGCTCTGATCTAATCTAAGTAAAGATAACATAATTTCGAGGTCTGAAAACGGGTATGGATTTTAGAGGTCTGGTCTGAAAACGGGTGTGGAAAATTGCATTTTTTGGTCTGAAATACGGTCAGGATTTGGAGAACCGGGCGGCACACCCCCACCAAGAATTCCCAGGGGTACCCCCCTCCCCCGGGGCTTAAGATAGCTAAAGGATTACGATGAGACGAAAAAGCCACCTCATTATATAACCAAAGGACTACTGACACATCCGAACAGACGAATACTATGAGTTTTTAGGGCAGCTTCGAATTAGCCAAACAGACTTCTAAATCGTAGGGATAACCATTTCAAACCGCACTTCTGACATAATTGGAAACATTCGGTCGCTGGGTGTCCCTGATTCCATAAATAGACCTGAAAAGATATTGTGAGCAAATGGAGATCCCTTGTAACCGCGTCAACGTCAAAGTTCACTCGCCGCGTTCTAGTCCGTGCTCGGTCTTCGGTGTGGTCAAACCGTATGAATTGAAAACCAAGATGGGGACAAGCTGTGTTCGTCATTCATCAACAAAGTCAGCTAATATCGATGAATGTAGTGGTGAAACTTGGCTAGTCGGCCGTTAGTATGCGGTGAAATAAGATACACGTGGACGAAAAGTTTCCCAAGACTAGTCGTTAAAAATCTTGTGGTTTCATTTTATCCTTGCTTTAAGTTGTACTCTCTTTTGGGGGGTATGGTAATGGTAGTTTCTGGGAAACTGTCCACCTACTCGAGGGGCCGCGACAACTAGTGGTATGGAAAGAAGCAGTGGCACCCAACGATTGTTTTCTGTAAAATATCTTTTCCGAGAAGCAAATTTTACCTAGAATTTTCCATTACTTGGGGACGCCTAAAAGTTTCTAAATGTCCATTAATCTCTTTCCCAATATTTTCCTTTCTTACTGTTCATGAAATAAGAAACAACAAGAATGCCTTGAGTCGCTATTTATGATTTGAGCTGGATATTTATCAGTCGTAAATTCTTCGTACAACACTGAATTTGATGAAGATCCTGAGGGGTAGATTAGAGCGGTATAAATAATTTTGATATTTGAGGTCATGGCTTGTGCAGAATGGTTAAAAAGGAAACCATGAAACAAAATCAAAGAATTGTCTAAATTTAGCAAAAATGCTAACCCTAACCTTTGATACAGCTAAAATTATACTAGGAGATGATAAGCTATCTTTAGTTCCCCGAAAATCGTTCGGCAAGTTGCGGTTATCGTTGACATCAGTGAGAAGCTGATTGCCTCAACAACTAACAGTTGTTTGATAAATATCAGTCTGGAGCCAAAGGAAATGATACAAATTGTTTTAACATGATTGTTACTGAGATCGTAAACAAAACATACTAGATGATTTTAAAAAGATCTGGAGCTCGAAGCATCCCCTTAGCTTAACCGAGGTAGCTCATCGTATGCATGAACGGGTTGTTCAAAGCTAGGTTAAGATAACCCAGGGTTAATTATCCGAATGCTTTTGAACAAGAGAAAAGGTCACCTGGATTAAAATTTAACCCTGGGTTAACTAGCGCTAATTGGCCTTCCAACAACTGGACCATTTCTAGTTTTTCAATTCAGTTTTCTTTTCCTTCCTAGCCTTTTTCCAGGTGGGAAAAATTCAACCAAGACTTCACTGTAAGTTAGTGTTTTCACCGTTCATAAAGGGTGAAAACTGTCAAGCAATTAATCCCCCTACTCAATTGATTCAAAGAGTTTCATCATTTAATTATAGTGCAAGAAATTAATTTCTAACATCAACACTCGTGGATGCACTGTAAGTGCGATCTGAAATTGTTTTTCACTGCATAACAGTCTCAGTAGAGTTTCTTCTGAAGACATTTCCGGTTTATATCTCCCCCGTAGGGAAAGTAGTTTCACATGGTCCAAAATTTTTTTTGCATTTAATGCTTACTTTGGAGTCTGTGGATGAAATCCAACGGTGTTACCCGCATTCAAATGAATCTTCTTCAGCATTACATTGGAACCTCGATATAACGAATGGCTAAGGACTAACAACTTTGTTCGTTATAATTCATCGAGGTTCGATATATATAAGTTCTCAGTTTTCCCATATTTTACTGTGCCCCAAATTCTGTTTTGAGACCCTGCATGCTATGTTGGTCGGCAAATATATTGGCCACCAAGTAACCATTAAAAATTGGATTAAAAGAGCATGCAGTGCAAAATTGTAGAACACGTATTTCCTTGTCAGTTAGAGATGGAGTGTAAAATAACAAGGATGAAAGCGGGGGTCATCAAATTGATTTCATATGTCTGAATTACAGTTCCATTGTGTATAACTTCACTCAATCATTTTTGCAGGGTTTGTTTCATATTGTGTTCAATCATTTTCTCCGACTTCGTTACAATTTTTTTTTCATTGACAGAACAACCCTACCATACGTTAAAAACCCATGAGTGATATTTTTTCACAGGCGAACAGAGTTCAAACAGCACAACGCCAGTCTCGCTTGAGCACGACTGCGCCGTATTTGCTAAAAACAAGAACTGTTCTTCAAAGCTTTGAAGGCTCGCTTTATAACCTACCTTAGTTGGAAACGCTCCCCATAACCCTAGTCGGCAGCATAAAGCACGCAGCTCCGGCCGGCGCGGTGAATTAGGGTGAATTGCCAGGGGGTACTTCTTAATAATAGACTAATGGGGATATGCCGCTGGATGGGGTCACATTTTCACGGCTGGATTGACTGTAATGGGGTTGTAGTTTTCAATAGAGTTACCAGAATGGGGTCGCACATTTTCGGGATTTTGCGGGTCAGAAAATTCAGGTTGGTAAGGATTTAAATGGGAAGATTTTTAATGCATTTAGTTTTTAAAAAAATGTGTCAGTTCATTTCAGGAAAACCTAGTTAAAAGGCTTTAAAAGGCAGACGCATAAACAGAAAATGACGAAGTTGGGATCGCGAATATTACACTTGCTCAAAAGTGACTAAGATGTGGTCTATAACTGGCCAAGAACAAGAGCTCCGGTCAAAAAATAGACTTAAATGGGGTTGCGGTTCTGAGAGGCCAGTGGCACGTACGCAGCAAAAATAACCCAAGTAACCAACCCCCCGGGTGAATTGTCAAATTGACGGGAGAAAAAGATGTTTGAGTAATGTTCCATATTTACACTAGACAACTTTTGATTATATAAAAACCCTGCTCTTGATGGTCATTGTACTGTATAGAAAATACCCCTAAGAGTCAGTTAAAATATGCAAAGAAATTCTGCTTGCGTTTTAACCCCAGTGAAAACTTGTCCTTGCGGTTCCTGGATGAATCGCATGACGGAAACTAGGTCAAACCAGCTATTAGAAAGTGATCTGTTACGAAAGGGGTAAACATTAATTTAATCAGACCCATTTGACGTATTTAAACCTGCAAGTGGCTCTGAACGCAAGAATTGAAGAATATATCAATATCTGGAGGATAATGTTTAAAATGTAAAAATAGTCCAGCAATGTTTAAATTCATTGGATGCGTTATTTATCGAACATTTGACCCATGAAAATTGTTGAATACCTTCGGAAGTGAAGTAATTACTTTTTTGCCAAAGGAGTGTACTATGTCGGCAATAAATCTCTGACAAAGGACGCCGGGGAAAAGCGTGCGCCCTAAGATAAATGGACGACCAATGGGAAGCAGAAATCCCGCTAACGTGACCGCTCTTAACGCACGTCGCCAGCACGTCGGCGAATTTTTTGACGAGTTTTCCGCCGTAGTGATTGGCCGGATTCGCCCTCGAAAACGAGTTACAAGGAAAGAGATAAGTTGTTTACTGACTCTGTGTTCGATATGATCTAAGCAGAGAATAGAAAGCAATAGGGGATGTATTGATTTCACGACCTCGTGCGACCCGTGCTGACAGCTCAATAAGTATATAAACCATCTCAGCAGATTCACGCATTAGTGTCTATCCCGAACGAGAACGCTGTAGACACGACTCGTAGAATCTAAAATGGCCAAAGAACTGGGATTTTTCCATACATCGTACAAAACGTGGCTTTGTAACACGGCACTATTTGCTCTTGTTTGTGCTGCTTTTACGGCTGGAGTTCTCCTGGGACCTATCATTTCTTCGCGAGGAAAAGAGCAACTGCAAGAGGTTCGCTGTAACTGGGATTCTTCAATACAAAAACAAAACCCGAGCACGAAATGTGTCTTCCCAAAGGATCTTAAAACACTTATGAACAAATGGAATCGCTCTTTAGATGACCTGATTGAAGAGAAGATGGCTAACTTTTCCAAAGGGTCAATAACTCCTCTCATGAGAAAACTCTCTAGAGCAAAAGATGCTTCTACAAAGAAAGTACTTCGAGGTAAGATAAGTCTCTTAGTTGTCTTAATTTTTCTGTTCTGTTTAATTTGTCCCTGGATCGTATGATTTTTCAGTATCACATGGAAACACTATAAACGGTTGAATCACCGATTATTGTTTCAATCTGCATGAGATGCAGATGTATCTTTTTATACGCTGAAAAACGCCAATGTTGTTGAGGTCTGTGTTTGCTCTCGTTTTAATTCATCCAGTTTCTCCGTAAGGTTTTCCCGTTTGAGGGTGTCAAATCTAAGACATGGAATACTTTGTTAACTTCAGAGCATTACAAAAAAAAACGTAAGGTCGTGACCATCAAATGTAAGCTATGAGTGGCTAAAGTCTCCAGCTGTGCTTTTAGATTTACATTGAAAACGTAGTAGAACAAAAATCCGTTTTTTTTGTCCGTCAGTCACGGAAAGAGATAGGTTCACGGCTAGACGACTGACTCAAAACCATCGCCGTTTTTTTCTTTGGTTAAATCCCCTGTTTAGTGTCCTATTCATTTGATACTAAGTGTGGAACTTTAACACTGGCCCAGTCAGTGTGTTACGATGATTTTTTTCTTCCGTTTTGAGTTTTAGCTCTAATCTGTTTGGTTTATGCGCATTCCAGGAGATAAAGACTCTGCAAAATGGGCTATAGACCGTTGTCACCCAGGAAATACGTCCTTTAAGGCTATCCTCACAGAGTAAAGGCTCCATTCTTTATCCCACGAAAACTTTCAATCTTAACAGAACTGTCAAAAGTTAGTTTTCGTGAGGAGATATGAAGGCATTCTTTCATACAGAGTTGAGGTCATGGAGAATCGATGGACCCAAAACAAATTGTTCGCGTCAAATGCAAGAGTACTTAAAAACTAAAAACACGTAAATCTTTAAGACGCTTTTCTGGCGTGTGATTAAAGTTCTTTTTTTATAAACAGAGCCAGCGAATTATAATAACGTTTTATTAAACAACAGATTTTCGATACAATTTCTTTCTTGGCAAGCATACTGATATCTTGATCGAAATCTCTTGGATAAATACCATAATTAGTCCTACTTTACTAGATCTTGCAATTTTTTTTTCACGCGCTTAAACTGGTACTTATTCATCGCATTGCAACAGAAAAATAGCGATATATCCAAGCCACTACTTAATTCACCGAAATAATTCTGTGCTCCTGGAAGGGTTAATTAAGAAGCAGCGGTGAACAAAAACACAGAGATGTAAAATTAGCTGGGGCAACAGCTGATTTTTTTTTCAGGGCGTGAATAGGAGACAACATACACTTGTAAGTAATCTACCAAGCTCTATAAATAACCGACCCGCTGACGGCTGTAGTTACGTATGATAATTGTTTTTGTTTATCCAATTCATTTCTTATCTCTAACTTGTACCTCATACCTGGAACAGACTATTTGTTTTCATCCGCTGCGCTGAGCGATTAAATAGTCACGTTCACTACTGACAGGTACAGAGACTGAACTTGGAGATTTTTCATATGGGGTATAACACACCCTTTCTGAAAAATCTGACTTCGCTTTGGGCACATTTTTAAGAAGCTTTTTACTTGGCAGACCATTTTTTCTATACTGAACAGATCGGGAATGTTTCCGCAAGGTCTTAAGGCGTCGGATTTGAGTAAAATCCAATTACTTTCACTTCTCTGGTGGCAAAGGTTTCTCGCTCTTTTCTGTGAACTTTGAACCGACAGGAAGTATTATTAAAGCAGTTCTTTTATCCCCTGCAAAATCCAGTAGTCCAAGGGGTACTCCTAGGAATTCTATGCTAGCGTATGCCGCCCAGTTCTCCAAATCCTTACACTCCATTTTAGATCAAAACATGTAATTTTTCACACCTGTTCCTCTAAAATCCATTTTAAACACGGCTGCTCGGTTTGCGAATAAATGACCTTGTCCAAATGAAGTCAACACTACTGTTTAAGGATTTATTTTCTTTTCAAGTGGTATTTGACAAAGAATCTCACGTTCGGAGCTGAGAAAAATTCCTTTATACGTCCTCATGATTCCCTTCAAAGCTATACCCAACTTCACTTCGAATCCTTGCTTATATACAGATGGCAGAAAAGCAGAGCACCCAACAACCCCCCCATCCCCCCGCCCGGCCTCCGGAATCCAGTGCGAAGATCTTTGTCCAAAACGTCGAAAAAAACGCATTGGAAAATCTCGATAAACAATCATCGTCTAATTCTTGGCTATAAAATACTAATTTCGAGATCTGAAAAAACGTAACTCGCTAACAAGCAAAAAAGGACCTGAAGATCTGTTGGGGTATTTCTTGAACCCGATTTAATAAGGTTTTTGTTGTTACAGAAAGGCATGTTTCAGATCAAAACAGCAACTGTATTTAATCTGAATAATAATAGTATTCGATTGCAAAGTAAAAACTCTCGTGAGTTACAAGCGCGCTTGATGTACGTCACGGATTGCAAGCCGGACGAAAGATTACTTTTACCACAAATTTCGGTGCACTTCCTTTCTGACTTATCGTGAGCAGTTATGGAATTGGCATTTAGAACAACACGTTTTTAATCAAAGGAAGTACTTGTTAATAGCTTCCAATAATCATAATTTAGGTAGATTTGAATCTCTTGTAAATTTAAAAAAAAGACAAAACAAAACAACCAAGTCTAGACCAAAAAATAACACATTAAACTGATGACAAACAGGTAGAAATAGTTGCCCTCTCTTGGAAGAAAGTATTCTTAAAAGTAAAACGAGTTTTTTGCACTATTTCTGTTAAAATCATCACCAACTAGAAAGCAAAGAAATAATTTATTTGATGATAAGTCAGCTGTTTTCAATAATTATACTGCTTAAAATATCATCCCTTTAAAATCGATTACTTGCCAAAGGGAAGTATTTCAAAAAAGCCGGTGCAATCATTCATTAAGTGTTCTTGACAGCGGAAAATGAGCTTTTTCCGCTCGGTCACTAAACAAGCGCAGCTTGTTATCGACATCGCCTGAAGGGAGAGCGTGCTGCTGTTATCGCGTGATCAATGAATTATCAGTTATCGGTGGTAGCGTGTGTAGGAGAAAAGCGTGCGCACGCAATCCCGATCAACCCTTCCACCCATAAGGCCAGTTCATACGTCTTTCTCCTGCCGTGTCGCCGAAGTTGTATTCAGTGGGGTTCAACAGAAGCACGACTTCAATTCAGAGTCGAACTTAATTGGGAACGTAGTAACAAGTCAGCGGTAAATGAAGCAAAAAGTACACATTTCCAAAATTTATGAATTCACAGAATTTAATATAGTTGGGCACTGCATGTCAGCACGTCAATTAAAGCACTTCCATGCTAGAGTCATGTAGCATGGAATTGACCTTGTCGAATAGTTCAAAACGTTATCTACAGTTCTTCTGCTGTACCGTTTTGACGAACTTAATTCTTGGCACGGCAGAAGCACAAAGCTTGGAACAGCGAGAAGAACGTCTTTTGAAATGCATGCAATCTCTTATTATGGTCACTACAGACAGGGCAAAAATCAATTTTCGATTGTTAAAACACTTGTACAAAACAATAAACATCATCACAGGAAAGTGATAATCGATACTTTTTGTGTTAATGGCTGGTGACTTTGACAACAGTGTCTCATTCAGTTTTTCTGCAAAAGTTAATGAAAAACCATTCTACGTACGCAGCCAGGGTATATGAGCTTATATCGCTCCTGACGCAACAGTTTAGAGACGTTACTCGAAAAGTACGTCATTTACTGCTAAGGGTTTCTTTCATAGGCCAACCACTCAATGCATTGGAGCCACTTGCTATAAGATACGCTATGAATAAAAAAAAGACCATGCTAGCACAGCGGTAACACAGGCACACCCAACCACTTTTTAAAACATCTGTTCGGAGAAGCAAATATTGCTTAGAAGTTTCCCTTACCTCAGGACGGCCAACAATTTCTATGTGGCCGTTCCATTCATGTACAATTTTTGAAGCTTTAATATCGAATAAATTCGCTAAGATTTTCTCGAGTTTAATTTTTCACATTTCACTCCCCAGGTTAGCCTATTTTTCGTGCAAAAAAGGAAACCTTAAATTTTCGAATTAAAAAATGTGATGGAAAGAGGAATCAGAAAAATTCTCACTTTCGTAATACGTTATATTGCATCTAAAATTTACGGCAAAAGTTTTGAAGCCCTTGAAATTTCGAAAAGACTCAAGCTCCCCTAGGGTGACCGAACAGGTACAAATTTTTTAGCGCCGCGTAGAGTGCATTTCCAGAGATCTAAAAGTACTCTTGATAGGCTAAAAAGTGTTTTTAATGTATTTAGGAGGAAATCGTCGTTGGGTGCCCCAAGTAGTAGGAAGAATAACCAAAGGAATCAGTTACTCGAGCCCGAGGGATTTGTGAATTTTTCGACAGTAAAAATGATTTGCCGTACATTAAAGCAAACAGACGAAATGAATGGACGGAAGTTTTACATTTTTGAGGCTTTTGTTTGGAATGTTTAAAACAGACTAATGCGGTTAGAGACCCTTCCATTGCGTGAGGCTATAACAACAACGATTTGTTATCATTGAAACTAGATTTCTACTGCAAACTATCACAGCTGGTCTGGTGATACATAATTAAATACTGATTACTGAAGTGCCTCTAGGGCTTAGTGGTGCGTGCTTTCCGTGTTGTTGAACTGTCTCCAACAAAAACGTTTAAAATTATCAGCGTGAAATATTGCGGCATTCAAGAAGTAACAAAACAACACGTACGCCCCAAATCTTTCTCTTGAAGTTTATAAAATTTACTAAGTTAGGTAAAATCATTGAAGTACGAAAGCAAATGAGGATCTTCTAGTCCCACGATACTTGCTTACTTACTTGCTATTAAAAAAATTCGTGACGGGGAGGGACGGGGATACTTATTGGAGAAGGGCGACGGCGCTTTTCCAAGAAGATACCGCTGACTTGTTCCCAGACTTCTTTCTTATGCGCACATCGTGGGATCTAGAGTTAGGGGAAGAGATGAGGGAGAGCTAGAGGTGACATACCTGGCACTCGCATACCGCACTCCTTACAGTACAAAAGTTGATCGTGAACGATTCAGTAAATAAGGTATTTTTTTCCATACTAGGGGCCCACAAAACGTAGCGTGTTTACTTTTCGATACGCTCTTTCTCGCCAGAACGGAAACTCCGCTCCGTCTATATGAGCGCATTCGAAGTATAAGATATCAAAAAGAAACACTAAATGTTGTTAAAAGGTAAAATAAACCATTTTAAGGTCTGTAGGGTTTGCTGACAAGCTGGTTAGTGGGACTAAATTCGCTCCAAAATGGTTCTAAAAATAAATGCTTCGATAAAAACGAAGTGACATTAGTGCATGAAAGTTTATTGGCTCCCCACGGAGCATGCGCATTCAGAGTCAATGCTTTCTGAACTGCTGGTCTGATTCAATACAGTAATTACACCCGGCTTATAGCGTTATTCCTAATCAGGTCATGAACCACAGCATAGTAAACGTTAATGCATTTATTTTCACAGCGATGTTTAGCGCGATACTTGCCAACTGGACAGCCAAGTTTTCAGAACATCTCAACAGACAGTTAAATACAAACGTGACTAACAAAGTTACCATGATGACTAAAGACAAACCGGAAGGAAGACGAGACCCGGAAGTGATCCAAGTAGATCCGGTTGAGCCCGGGACACCAGGTAAGATGACATTTCGCCTCTGTTTTATAGGTCATCTCCTAGCAACTTTGTACTATCAGCAGTCTAGCCTGAGAAAACAGCCGGTTTTTCCCGACGCCACCACTGCACTGGTTTCCCCAAGAAATGAAAGAGCACACAAAATCCATACTCACTACCCAGATCTGCGGGCTTGTGCTTCTGACTGGACGAAGCAAGTTTTCGGCCAATCAGGAAGCACTACCCAGATCTGGGTAGTGACGTATCATCAGTATCGAATTTCTGCATTCATTCCTCAGATGTCATTTCTTGGGGAACGCCAAAAGTGGTGTCGGGAAACGTCGGCTTTTTTTTTTTTCAGTCTACTCGCCTGTTATTGGTTAAAAAGGCGCGGGAAACGATTGGAAATGGAAAGAGAAGGAGAGGTTTTTCCCGCCTTGTCCCTCTTCCCATCGCACCGTCTCCCTTCCTAGCATCCTCGGAGACCCAGGGGCAGATAGTGGGGGCAAGGAAAAGTCTAATCGCGAAGAAAAGTACTTTTCTCCGTGCCATTTTTTTTTTCGCTGCGCCCGTTTAGACTTTCCCTTGCTCCTACTATCTGCCCCTGGGTCTCCGAGCATGCTTTTCCAGGCGCTCGCTAGTAGAGACCTTGTCACGGTTTTGGAAGCCATCTTCTCAAACTCATTAATAATTCATAAAGAAAATTCAAAGGAAATTAATGTTTAATGAGTGTTTGGATATCAGATGAAAAACTGCTCATTTTTGCATCCTTAATTTCTCCTTCAAAAATGATTTTGTTTGAGGAGAAATATCAAACATTCGACACAGTGTTTCATCACCAGATTAAACACCTCGAAGTTCGTCAAAAATACTCCGCTGCGCGTCGTATTTCAACTCTCTTCTCGGTGTTTCATCTGGTGATGAAACACTGCGTCTCATGTTTGATATATTACTTGACGAGTTGGTAACCGTGTGAGAAATTGCAGTGTTTGTATGTCGAATAATTTCTGTAAGACGGCTGTTCTGAAAAAAAAAAAAAAAGTATTGTGAACTAAAGCTCCACCCCTAACGATTCCATCGAAAAAATCAGAGGGCGTTACATGCAGCTTCATGGGCTAGAACCACTTTTCAAAATTTTCTATACATCTTTCTGTAAAAAAAAAACTTGACTCTGAGAAACGATTTGAAAAGATCTAAGCTTTCCTGTTCTCTTGCCTCTCCAGGGATATATTATTCCAGAGGACCGGTGTAGTCGGAAAGGCTATACTTCCTCTGTTAAACACAGTTTCTTTTTAACAGTTCATAATTGTTTTTCTTACAGCCACTCCCGTAAGTTTACCAGTTCCTATCGCTTTGTATCCACTAAACGGCAAATACACAACTTGGGATGTCAGCGGTCGAAGCAATCCCAACGGCATTGCGCGTGGAGTTCACCTCGCTACAGGACCTGAGGGACATCCTAACGGCTCGTACCAGTTCTCTGGTAAGAGCGACAGTTTTATTGAATTCCCAAACATGGGGGCGCTTAGAGCTAGAGAATCTATAACCCTGCTGGCTTGGGTCTATATCGAGTCCGGCAATGGACCTATATTCAACTACAATCCTCTGGGCTGGGGAGTCAGCCTTTGGGTAAATTCGAAGCGTCACCTAGCAGCAAAGTTTGTTGAACAGGACGACCAATGTGAGACTTGCATTGACAGCGCTCATCCTCTAAAAACAAAGACGTGGAATTATGTTGGAATGTCGTACGATCAAACCAGCGGAATTGCGAGGCTGTGGGTCAACAAGCGAGTGAGCAGTCAGAGAGGCATTGGAACCAATATCAAACTGTCGACTTCAAAGAACGCCAGAATGGGTGCGCGAGCTGTGAATGATGGGAACTATTTTAATGGACGGATATCCCGGATGCAAGTCTATGACAAGGCATTGAGTCAACGTGAGATCGAGGCTGTCGCAGGACCAATTGAAGGTAAAACAACTAGATTTTCTTAGTACCAAGTATCGCGCGCACGAACTAGCATAATTTCGGCGGGAAAGCGCGATAGCCGTCGTCATTCTACCACGGGTTTCAGAGAAGATGTTACAGTGGCGGAAATAAGTGCCATAGTGTATTATTCTTAATTTTTTAGCGCCTACTATTTATCGTCTCTCATTTCTCTTAGGCTCCCATCTAAATCTAAGGAATTCTAGTGATAACCTTTTACTTAGTTATCCGCGTTTTAAATCTAAAGCTACACTAGGTGATCGTTCTTTTATCTGTGCTGCACCGAAACTGTGGAATGCTTTACCATTTGACATAAGAAGCGCCAGCACAGTTAGTATTTTTAAGGCCAAGCTAAAAACTCACCTTTTCCGTCATGCATTCTTATCATAGTTGTTTTCATTATTGTCAGTTTTTTGTAATTGTAATTTTAGCTTTTTAAATCATTGTAAGTTTACTCTTGATTGTAATTTTAGCTTTTAGCCTTTTTATTTCGTTTTTAATCTTGTCACTGCGCATTTGAACATTTTATGGAATTTGCGCATTATAAATGTTTTATTATTGTTATTATTATTATTATTATTATTATTATTATTATTAGATATTTTATCATTTTGCGATCAGGAGAAGGCTTAACCTCCTTCAATAAAAATAACAGTATGTGGTAGCCTTTCTGGTGAAAAAATGACAAAGAATAAAGTAAAGTCAAGCTTTCTGGGTGTCCATTGTCTCAGAGTGCCCCCAAACTGAGTTTTAGTTAAACCTCGTCCTCCCTCGTAGTTGTCCTCGCCCTCGGATTTTAAGGCCTCTTTTTACAGTAGATTTTTCGAGGTCTAGAGAGAGACGATAATACCGTTTATACCACTACATGAGAAATTTCTGCAATTCGATTGGCTTAGAGCAGTGTTATTTCAGCTTAATTTGAAATACCTACAAGTGAAAATTACAAACCTTTTGCAGGTAGTGGTATAAACAAATAATAGCATAATTTGTACGTGATATTTGGCATAAATACCACTCGTGATATTTCACAATTGTATAAAATTACGTATAACAATTTTGAAATATCACTCGAGGTATTTATGCCAAATATAACTACCAATCATGCTATTACCTATTCTAATTTGTGTAAATATATTTTAAGCTTTTTATTATCCTGTAATTCGTAGTTGGCGCATGCCCACAAGGTTGGACGGGATATCGTTCTTCATGTTACTTGGTAGTCAACCGGTTAACAAGGCAGTGGAATCAAGCTAGACAGGTTTGTCAAGAACATGGAGGAGACCTGGTTGAGATTGGCTCTTCAGAAGAAAACCACTTTGTCTATTCACTTGCTCGCGCCAAAGCTTCCGATAAAAGGTAAGTTAAAGAGTTGACTTGAAAGATATCGTAAAGGCTCCATCGAATGTCGATGAAATCTCTCTGAGACAGAGAGCTCCTAAAAGTGGTCACCTGAGTTGCAATAGGAGGTCCCTGGTTCTTATTTTTCGACGGTAACTCCTAGTCCCTAGGCCTCATTATTGTGCGCGGCCGATACTTTTCGGGTCACCAGGTCCCAGCGAGTTTTTTTTTCCTTTTTGAGTCTCCCAGCCGTTCGTCTCGGATACGTCACCGAAAATGCGTTGACCGAGAAGGCCTGGGAAGAAGCCGTACAGGGGCTAGGCAAAGTAACTAGAAATAGTACGCATTAGGCTAACAGATCTGAAGCCGACGGTGTACCCATTTTACCAGTCTCTCCATCAGTGCTCTATTTTACGGGTATTTAAAGCTACTTTAAGCTGCACGGAAAAGAAAGAAGTCAAAACAAGAATTTGAAGTCACACTCAGTAATCGAACTCTGCAACCTCGGGCAAAAAAAACCGGATGTGCTAATGCAGCGTGGCCGAGTGGTCAGAATCCGGCGGTCCTGGGTTCGAGTCCCGCTCTGGCCACTTGCTGGATTTGTTCTCAGTCATCCCGAATTGGAAGTCTCGACAAAGCTTGTAAATAGCCGACTGGTTGCTTCCTGCCAGTTGGGGTTTTTAATCCTGTTATGTTGCATTTGAATTATCTGTTTCTAAGTATTTGAGAAGAGTGCCTGTAAATTAGCTGGATAAGCTAAGTGCACTTTTCCATTATGAACAAGCTTTTTAACCTTTTTTTTTCACCTTTTTGCTCCTTCACTTCTCTCAGTACGAGCTTGTTCAGTCTCAAACATCGCATGACCCCTCAACTTTTTGCTGCGCAAGTTGATCCAACGGTACCTTTTGACTATGCATTATATTCTGTGATTGACCAAGTTTGAGGTCGAGTTTGTTGACGCAGAAAACGTTTTTTTACGTAAGAGATGTGAATCATGAAAATATTGACCTAAACTCAAAACGCTTCTTTTTCATTCTCTCAAGATTTATGTGGATAGGTTTATTACGTGGTTCTTCCGACGAGACATTTACCTGGATTAACGATCACTCGCCCTTAATGTACTCCAACTGGGCGCTTGGCGAACCTAACAACGCTTACGGGCGGGGCGAAAATTGCGGCCACATGTACATCTACTCAAGGGACAAGGCCAAGCAATGGAACGATGAATTATGTGTGAACCCTACAATAGGGTCAATGGTGTTTATGTGTGAAATAGAGCCTGTAGACACAATAAGAATGATGGAGATGCCAAAAACTGTGGAAATCAGTAATTCTGTCGACGAGGATAGCTCCGGTGAAGACTCTGGGTCAGGAGAATATTCAAGTGGGTCGGGAAGCGAACACCAGTTCAGGTTGATGATCGATTGATCTGATTGGATAGACCCTTTAAGGGCTCGCAGTCACGTGACCTTGCTTGATGCTGAAATTATGGGATACAATTTATAACTTGAAGTACCAGAAGCTGAAACAACACGAGAAAATAACAACAGCTAGAAAAACCAAATTTTTAGGTGATTGGCACTTCAGAAGTATCTTCATAGGTTTTGGAATGTTGGTCAAAATATAGCAGAAAAAATATTGAACCGTGAGGGGAGTGCGGTCCGGCACGTTTTTTCTAGTCATTATTATAATCTCCTGAAAATCGGCGGGCTCGCTATTTGCTTTTTGCTCTTTCAATTTTCTGGCTTCGGGTTGTTGCTTTTCACACTATACCCAATAGCTTTTCGTGTGCACGAAAAACTATCTGATATAGTGAGAAAGCAGCCGAACACTGCCGCCGTTTTTTGTTTACAAACACCAACACTTAACATTACTACATACGGTATCTCCCAGTTTTGGCTTGAGATAGGTATATCAGGGGCACCCAACAACAATTTTCGGAAAAATATCTGTTCGGAAGACGATTTGAGATCTAGAATTTTCGGAACATTCGTTGTAAAATTTCTTGCTTGCCTGCCTCTCCTAGGATTTTCGAACATCTAAAATATGGTATAATTGCCTATTTTTAACAGATTTTTACCCTACAAAGGTCACCTAGAATTTTCGGGAGCCTTTTTCTGGCTGAAATTTTCGAAAAGGTAAGTTTTGATCCCTATAATTTTCGGATCACTAGACTTTCAGCTAGGAAATCCGAACAGATGAAAAATTTTTAGGGGATAAAAATAAGCCTATATCTACCGTTTAAATACCAAAATACGTTTAACAATGCTATGTGTTAGAGGTTTTGAACTATATTCTCGTTGGGTGCCCCTGGTATATGTCACGTGGGCCCGAGGTGAAAAGGGCCAATTGGAAAAGACTGTGACTGTAAATAATCTGGGGCCCGTTTCTCGAAAGTCCCGATAATTAACGGGCCTGGGGCCCGTTTCTCGAAAGTCCCGGTAACTTTACGGGCCCGAAATCAAATATTCAAATCGAAATATAAAGAATAAGAGCGCGGGTCCTGGCCAGCAAACTACTCCATTTAGTTTCATTAACTGACAGTTTCGAGAAACGGGCCCCAGGGGCCCATTTCTCGAAAGTCCCGATAATTAACGGGCCCGGTAAGCTGTCTCCGTTTACATTAAAGATTGAGGTTTCAATAGTTTTGCATCTAACATGATAAAACTGTCAGTTAATGAAACTAAATGGAGTAGTTTGCTAGCCAGGACCCGCGCTCTTATTCTTTATATTTCGATTTGAATTTTTGATTTCGGGCCCGCAAAGTTACCGGGACTTTCAGAAACGGGCCCCTGGTCGTTAAAAAGCCTCGATGATAAAGCCAAAATCATCAGCTTTGATTTATATTTAACAGAGAAATGTAGTGTCCAAGTAAATTCATTTGTGAAGTTTTCCTTAAAAACAGGAACATAACAAGAAAGTTTGCCAAGAAGGCAAAAGAAAAACAAATCTACGGGAAAACTGGACAAGGCTTCTAAATCGCTAGACACAAAAAAAACCCTATCAGTTATTGGCATACAAAGAATGCTCGAGAACAATATAATCTCTGAAAGTCTCGTTTAATATTGTTTCAAACCTTTAAATACTAAATCAAGTACAGAGAAAAACAATGCAGTTTTGACTTCTCGTTCATGTATAAAAAGCGAAATGACCAGAAGTCTTACATCAGGGTCTTTTTTATTCGGTATTGGACTCGCACTTTCAAAGGATACCTAACTGTACTGCCTCATAAGAAAAGAAATTCCGGTATAGCTTACGTGGCAGGTAAAACAAGTTGGAAGTGGCTGGTAGATGAAAGTGGCGGAAAAAAAAAAAAGAATGAAAGAATGAAAGAAGCGGAAGGGAAACCTTCTACCCCCATTTTTCTCCCTTCTCTCCTATCCCTTTCAATGCCTGCCACGTAGGCTATATTCTATGTTGCGTTTTTGTTGTCAAAATGACGAGCCCAAGTAATATTTGTCAACCGACAGGGTAAAATAATTATGGAAATATCCTAAAAACAGTGGAAATAAAATGAGAAAGTAGCCAATCACAACAGCTCACAAAAAAATGCAAACAACGAACCGATCGTGTCTTGATCGAATTATTGCTTTCTCGCGCTATGACCTTCGCTGGCAGCCAGGAGTGTAACCTGATCCCAAGGACTTTTCCCTAAAAAATTGGGAGCCGCGTCGCGCCCCGTCCAATTTTTTAGGGAGAAGCCCTGTGGCTATGTGGACGAGTTTGCTAAGAATAAACACCCCGACGCGCCGGCACGTTCATTCAATTCTGAATAAAATACGTTGCAAGAGAAGGAAGAAAAAAACAACCAGCAAAACCTATTTTACGTGTGCAACTTTTTCTGGCATTTCTTGCAATTTTTTAATCCATTTTTTTTTTCGCACCGGAATCTTGCAGAAAATCATGGGTGAAAAAAGTGTCGCGACGCCAAAGTCCGAAAATTGTAGCGGGAGCAGCCAGAGAGGTTTCTCGCAGTCTCTTTCGCGGGTCAATTCGCACTGAAGAAGGCTTGTAAACGAGCACAAAAAGCTCGAAAGATTTTCAATTGATGTTGTCAGCCTCGTACGCAAGCGCTTCTTGGGAATATCTGCGGTAGTCGAGGCTCAAGAGGTCATGGGAAGGACGAAAAACGGGTCGCGGTGCTCCGCCTTTCAGTTGAGCCTTCCCTTGCCGCCTTTGCGTTTCTGAGCCTTACTCATGAACCTTGTGCCGAGACTACTGTCAAAAATCCCAAGAAGCGTCTGGGTACGAGGCGGTGTTTGCGTCAATCCGAACTCCTCAACCTTCGCGACTAAGTCTCTTTGAACACTTGCTACATGGCACGCTGATGTTAAAAGGGCAGTTTGCACCAGTGAAACATCTGGTTTCCAGAGACATTATATCGCCGTCCTTAGCAGCCCAATTAACCCGGATGGAGCAACTTATGTGTACTCGTTTAAAGGTGTTTTCATTGACCAGTTTAGTTTTAGAACGATTTTGACACGAGTTTAAAGTATTAATCAAGCCCCACAAACCATTCAGCAAAACTTAGTTTACCTCTAAATGACGTATTAGTTTTCCATTTTGATGTCTTATACTTGGAATGGGCTCAGAGGGAGCAGAACTTCCACTTACGACGGGAAAAGTGATCTAAAAATATACCAAACCTTCAAAAAGGCCGTGATATAGGCCTAATATCGAAGTTTCACGGAATAAAGCATAGATTATCGCTCGCTAAACGCGCAACCAAAGGTTTTGTTTTTGCCTCAGGGTTATAAAATGAAAAACAGAAAAGTGAAGGGCCGTTAATATACTCCGGGGATATTTCGAGTTATATTTCGGGACAAATGATGCAAATGTTCATCCACCAAAAAATGACTTTAAAAATTCTCGAGCAGAAAATCTCCGATAAATCGCATCAAAAGTCGCCCGTGTAAAGGGGAGGGCAAAGAATCTAATAAACAAAAGAATGATCGAGCAGATATTTTCCAACATTTTTAATGTAAAACAGAACGCTTTCTGTGAAATAAGAAGATAAAAACGTTTAGTTTCTTTTTATTCTTGTCATTCTTGAAAACCTGTCTTAAAATTTCTCCGTCATTCGGATCAGGTTAATCTAGGACATCTTCTACATTCACGCATTTAACATAACACACCCAGAACAACGTCCTAGTAATTCCATGCTGCATATTACACCCAGTCATGCCATACTACCCTGTGGCATCAGGACTGATGGCTGATGAGGTTAGTGGTATTTCTGTTCCTTCATGGCTAACATGCAACCATCCCCTAAAAACTGAGTAAACAAAGTGAGCATTAGTTAATATTTCGCATGCACAGGATGTCTTCCTGGTACACTTTGGATGGAACCACAATTTGTATAGTTCTCCTTTAAATCTAATCGAGATTTCATTTGATCCAAAAATTCCTCTATTGGATTGGAAGGTTAAGGGCTCTTGATACACTTAAGTAGAGTAAGACTTTTTTTTTTCTGTTCTCCAGCAAGTCCAAGCACAGCAGCTCAGTGTTCCCTGGACACTTCCTTTCCCTTGTGCGCGATAAGGAGATCCTTAATTTTACACAAGACCTCTACGCTGAGCATCACAGGTTCAGGGCTCTTGGACTCTCGGAAGTTTTCATTAAAGCGCAGACTTGAGTTATGGTTTATGTCTATAGCCTTGAAACCCCTTTTTCAACAAATATTGACAAGAATGCTCATCCCTACACTTTCCCTCCCCATGGCTTTTTGATTACGTCTGTATATAGTCACCTTTTCATTACAAGAGTATTAAAAATATAGACCTTACTTTGGAAACATGGGGTATAACTAGTAGCATGCATATCCCAAGCGTGTGCTTTTTGCTGTATTTTAGTTTTTGTAGCATTAATGTGCCTTCCCATTGCTTGGACCACATTGCAGCTTTCAATACACGGATGAGAAGATCACTGAAGCAGAACAAGAGGCCAGGGGGCCGGTACTCCCTATAATGGCCTTTATTTATTTACCGCCCAAAAGGGGTATCGATTTAACCTCGGTCGATTCTGGTAGCTTCTGTTGACGGGACAGAACGGCCTCAACGCTAGATACAATAGCCTCAGTTGGTATTTGTTTAGGTGTCACTGAGTGTCTAAGTCCGGAGGAAAGTATTTGCGTTTCAATCTCGTCTTAGGGACCGGAAGAAATATTCCTGACCCAGTTAGCGTCTGGTTTACGTCGCTTAGCGTTTTTTGTCAGTTTGTTTCGTTTCCGCGCGGTGCTGCTCTTGTCAGCGCGTTTGTCAGCAATAGTCTGTATAGTGCTAAGTAAGGTAGTCGGTAAAAGTTGTTTAAGTTTGTCAAGTCGTAGTTATATTTTGTTGTTGTGGTAGTTGAGTCTTCTGTGACAGTCGTTCATCCGTGCTCGGATCAATCGTCTACAGGTGGCCTCACAGGCGGCCCAGACGTAGTAT